TGTAAAGATACTAAAGCAAGCTCAAGTGAGGACTGGCGCAGGGCAAGGGAGAAAGTCACCATTTTGTGCTTAAGCCATGGAAAGGTTAGTTGACAGATTTGTGAGGGATGGCCCGCTCGAAAGGTGAGTCGTTCATTCCGATCAGTTTGCATACCAAACTGGGAAACCGACTGATATGACCTTACATAATCTGGTCGGTAGGCTAGAGAAGACTACATCAGTGAGAAGTGGCACTTGTGGTCTTTGGCTAGGCACGGGGTTGGATCAGTCCTAGTAGATTAGGTTCTATCCTATGCTGAAGGACGTATGCTGCAGCGACAGCGTTGCTCGGGGCTGTGTGCAGGGCGGGGTCCTGTCACCCCTGCTGTGGTGAACGAACTCCTCGTTAGGCTCAGTAGTGCGGGTGTTTATGTGCAAGCCTATGCTGATGACTTAAGCATAGCAGTTAGGGGTCGTTTTTGTAGAGCAGTCTCTGTCACCGCTGCAAAGACCAATTTGATCCTATTCACTGAGAGAAGAAGGCTTGGCGGGCTTGTCTTGCCGGCATTCTTTAGGACTAGACTAAATTCAGTGTTTGGCCTCTATTAGTATTACAAGCGCAGTGCGGACAACGCCATTGAGTGCAATGGAAGCTCTGCTGGATCTCCCACCGTTGGATCTAGCGATCCGCGGAGAAGCGAGAGTAGTCGCACATCGAACCTGGAGTCATTGCAGCTGGGCATCTTGAATTCTGTCACGGGTCACACAGCTGCCTTAGTGAACTGCAAAGGGAATATCATGTCTTGAGCAGGGGTGATCTGATCACCCTAAATATCGCTTCAACCGTGGAGTATCCAACGAGGGCGGAGGATCTCCGGAGTGAGTGGGCAGGTCTGGTACACGGATGGCTCGGTCACTGAAGAGGGCTCTGGCTCCGGAATCTTTGGGCCTAGAACTAGACTATCTCTGCCTCTTGGCGGATACATCACTATTTTCCAGGTGGAAATATTTGCGATTCTGGCTTGTGTATCCCGCATTCTGGAGGGGGAGGGCCTAGGAGAAGAATAATAATCTGGATCCTTTAGCAGCGATGCATCGGCAATGATACGGCAGACGCTCTGGTGAAAACAGGATCGGTCAGCAAGCTAGTTGGACCTGAGCCAGCTTTAGGAGTGCCCGCGCAAAGAGTTAGGAGGAAAATAGAGAATTGGATTGCAAGACAACACTCTTAGAAATAGAGAAGCATCTCCAGATATCTCCATCAGGCATGGGAACTTATCCTAAGGCCCTGCGCTAAGGATGGGCGTTTTTGCTTATCGTTGAATAGAGCCAACCCAAGGTTGCTGGTGGGACTGTTGTCTGGGCATAACACGTTAAAATCGTATCATCCCATGAAAAATCTTTTAGGAGGGGGCACGTTTTCCCGATTCTCCGTGCCCTCTTGAATCTGCTCTTGCCCAGATTACAATTAAAATATCAGATTGTTTGGTTTCACGGTACTGGAAATTTGCCATCCATACATGTATACAAGTATTCAGCATGTTTCTTCGTAGGTACACACCTTTTTTACACCGAAGCAGCCTATGAGGATCGCAGAAAAAGTGTAATCCGATTTTTGAACTGCCTAAGTTTAGTAGAACTAGAAAAAGCTTCCTATTGTAGGTTTTTCCACAATCTCGTTCTGGATGTACAAAATTCGACACTGTTAGCGCGTTGATGTAACGGTAGAAGAGAGCTGTATCGGCCATGGCCCGCCGGTGCGAAGAGTCATCAATCAATCATACAGCCCTCCTCTCTACAGCAAAGAACATAAATAATGCAGTCGGGCCGGCAACACCACAAACGTGTGAGCAATTTTCGTGGCTAGGTCTTATCTGGGCCTTATACAGAGTGAAGAGGTAATGCGGAGAAAATTACTTCTTAACCCTAAGCAAATTGCCGCTATTGACGAGATTTGTTGCGTCCCCAAGGAGTGATAACATCCAGGACTCTCGTCTTTTTTTCCAGCTCACCAGCAGAGACAGACTTATCGCTCTGAATTCCTGCATGAAGAGTGGTCATCAGCAAAGCTGAGGATTGGATTGACCTTACAGGAAAGGAGGTCGTTGATGTCTAAGGAACAGTGTCGAAGCCAAGGCCGAACCCGGGTTGACGTTGTGGGATGAAGAGGAGAACCTGCCAATTACGACGGATATCTTGCGGCCAGAGAGCAAGTCAACCACCATCTGCAAAGCTTCTCTGGGAGGCCATAGGATGGAAGTTTGAATAAGAGGGCAGCGTGCCATAGCTGATCAAACGCTTTCGTGATATCGAGAGCAACGACATGAGGCTCACCATAAAACTGGATGAGTCTACCCCATAATTGCGTGACGTAAGCTTTTAGGAGGGGTCCCCGTGGTTCGCTGGTGCCGGAAACCAGGTCGCGATTTTTACACCTCTTCATCACGTTACTTATAACAGAAAGCAGAGCTATAGACCTGTAGTTGTAAGGATAGGTCTTGGATCTCCTTTTTTGGACTGGGTTGAACTTTCATCCTTCTAGATTATATACAAAACTCCCAAAAACTTCGCATTTTTAAGTCGTCTGTCTATGATTTGTAATTTAATATTCACTCCTACATCATCCCTTTTAATCTCAGATTGCACAATGAAATTCTTGTATAGACCGATATAAATCAATGAAATATTAATCGCTAATGGTAATAATTGAAGACACAAGTGGATAAAGGTGTCATGTCACAAAATAATAATTCTGAGAAAAATCACTTTAAAGATTTCCGATTGGAATTTTTTTATGCATTCAATTTCAGGCATTTTCTATAAATGTTTTTTTAAACAGCATTAAATATTTTCTTTGTCTCTTGTTTAACTTGAAGACATGTTGATATTTTGAGAGAAAATGTACTTTGAAAGTACATGACACCTTTATCCATAAGAAGTTGACAAAACCTTGTGTTGACGGGAAATGAAGAGAGGTGTTATGTAATTAAACATTGGTATTTTATTGCAAAAGTAACAAAAATCTCAAAACTCATCAAAATGAACCAATTGCTTTTCTTTTTTTCTTGGGATTCTCTTCGTTTTCTTCAAAAATTTTTTCATAGAACCATTTATACTCGTTCTTGACAAACTTTAACTGCTCACGCAAGTTACTCAACTTTTCTGCAGTAAGTCCACCTTTTTTCTCTGTGATTCTTTAAATAGATTTACTTTATGAAAAGGTGAATATTCATCCAGATTTTCTTTATAAAAGTAGCTGCCGAACTCATCAACTCTAATCCATTTGACACTATCTCTGAAACAGATTTTTTGTCCCATATCATTAGTCTTTTTATTCCAAATATGCAACTTCCCTGAGAGTTCGTTAAAGTCATAGAAGTAATTTTCCATATCGAGGGTAGCACAGTTTTTCGTTCTTGCAGATTTAATTAGCTCACGGTATTGTTCGGGTACATAGATATTCTCAACCTTTCTAAGTTTTTTTTCTATTCTGCCAAAATTTCTGTCCGAGTCTAGGTAGCTGTGTCCAACTTCTGGAAACTTATGATCGATGACTTTCAATGTTCCATTTAAAATTAAAAATTGATAGAGACTGATAATATTGAAGTTTTTATTTTGGCCTGCACAAGAGTCAGACCAAATGATTAGATGATTAATATTTTTGTGAGATTCTTTGAGCTGCTGACAAAATCGGAGTAAACAACTAGCTATCTCAATACTTCCTCGTTTTGCTACATCTTCGGTCCAATTGAAAAAAAAAGGTTTTGATCCACTAGCAGTTACACAATGGATACCAAAATTATAGTACCACACTTGGCGAAGGTAAAAAGCTTTACTGGTAGATAATTTTGGTAGTGGCATCGTTTGTTGCATATCCATAGTTATATAGCAGGTATCTTCTTCCATTGATGGTCTTTCTCTATCACGTCTCTGTGATTCAAATGCAGCTTTAAAGTTTTCTGTATGCAGATCTGTGTGTTTGCCCTGAATCACAAACACTACACGTGTCACTTCTAGGGTGGCCAAAAGATAAATTGAACTTTGTACAAAATATTTTAGCATAGGAAGAAAGTGTCACTTTGAAAGAATCATCCAGTTTTCTGTTTTCACAGTCTTCGATGTACAACTTATACATTGTAGCCATATTAAGGATAGGTGACAAATATTTTTTATGACAGTTTTTATTACGTGAGTAATGTGACTCTTCTGAGGGGAATTTTTGGATATGATCCATAATGCACGCAATGACATCCTCTTTAATTTAATGAGGTCTGTTTTTGTGTTGACCTCTTTTGTCAGGTGTTGGAGCATTCATTCCTTTTTTCAGTGTTCTTTGCATAAGTTCAATTTTCTTTCGGCTAATCTGATAAAGAGCACCTCGGCATATGATTTCTGTTTTTCTATTAAAAGTAATGGAATAACTAAAAGAATATGTTTTTTCTTTTTTTACATTAGTCCTATGTCTTGCAACCGGTTTGATGTTTATGCTTTTAAATAACAAAGCATTGTTTGCGTTTATATCTAATGCATAATACTTTTCTAAAATTGCTTTTCTATCTTCTAAAAGAAACTTGTCAGAGCAATGTAATCTGCATTTTTCTTTGCACAGCAATCCAGAATTTATTTCTTTTTTTGACATAACTTTCCCTGTTTGAGAAAGATACTCTTCTCCTCTTGCTCTTAAAATTGCAGATTTTCTTCTACTCCACTGATCTGGATTCCTAAGACGTTTCTTAGATGTTTTCTCCTTCAACTGAAATATTTTCTTTTTCACTCTTTCTCTTTTTTCTTCCAAAAAATGGTCATCTTTTAAATTGGGCAATCCAATATCAGCAGTAATATGCGATATACATCGATTCTCCAGAGTTAATTGAGTACTTGAGCTTTGGTTTGAGTCATGCCTGGTTTGAGATAATAGCTTGTTTCGAACGTTGGATAACAGCTCATTATCTGATTCATTACACGATTCGGTTTCGGAGATATATTCACTGCAGCTTGTGACATCCTCATCGCTGAAATCTTTATGAGACGATGGAGACTGGTATATATCTAAAAATAAACAATAAAACTAATTAATTACCTCTTTTAAAATAAATATTGATTGCGTCCATACCTCTACTGGTACTGGGAATAATTGATATCCGAGGATTAGCTGTTAGATTTTTAATGAATTCTGCATCATTTTTATTTGTGCTAGGTTTAGAACAAATATTAAGACAAGGAAACGTCTTAGGGTTATTGTCTATATTTTCGCTCTCTTTATTTCCAAAACTTCTCATGGGACTAATTGATCCATCGTGATTAGTTTCTAAAATCAATGCAAAATCAGTACAAAATAACAACAAAATAATAAAAGCCACTAATTTTCTACCTGGTCTTGTGGTACATGCTTTTTGTTGATCCTCTAGAATCTTTAAAATGTATTTTCCTCTAGACATCACTGAATATATTATGTTAGTAAACCAACAGTTTCAAAAACAGCACTCTTACACATAACCATTGTATAATAAAATCCAAAACAATGACATACCTAACCTCAAATTCAAATGTCATGCTGTGGATTCTCTACAGAAAATTTACACTTGACAGTGGATAAAGGTGTCATGTTACCTTGACCCCTTTATCCACTGTCAAAGGCAAAAATATGGGTACATAACACCTTTATCACTTGAATATCTAGGTAATTCACAAATATTGTATAATAACGAGACTTGATAATGAAAGAAAAGCAAATCTTAAGCCTATTGAACGAAAAAAACACGTTTTTGAAAAAATGTTACATGACACCTTTATCCACTTGTGTCTTCAATTGTAAATTCCTAGAAAAATTCTTGTGCCTTCTGCCAAATCCAGTTTCAGTCCTAAAATACGCAGACAACGGTGAGAAACAGTAAATATCCGACAAAAACCGTGATATCTAATGGAACGTATATCGGCTCGATGCATCACAGCTTCACAGATCAAGCTCATTTTTCCAAAAAGGACTTAAAGGCAAAATAATAGTTTGCATAAGAATGAGAATAAAATCGAAATGAATGAAATAAAAGTCAAACATAAATTAAAAATGTTTATTATACTATTGTTTCCAACAAAAGCAATTGTCATAAAAACAAGTTACCACTAATATAATTCTCTGAACATGTATAGTAAAAAATTGTAAAACCGATTTATTTATATCTATTATCTATATGCAATTCTACAGTCGACAAATTATGTACAAATAATACATAATAGTGACTTAGGAACTTGATGACGTCCGATAGCCTGCTAAAAAAATTTTAGTACCAATATTATACATATAACAACTTTATATAAATATAATGTGCAATTAAAGAAGAATTATTGAAGAAGTTTTCAATCGGGAAAGAATTTCAGTCGCGAAAAAGCGTACTAGAAATAAACAGTTCTATCCAAGAAGGTCCCTCTCTACACTTATTTTTGAACAGGTCAATCTGGGGTGATCAAATTAGCGCACGAGTACTTTATTTTAATGTAAGAGAGTTGGAAATTACAAGATGGCGGCTGGGCACCATCTTGAAACATTGTTTTGAATTGAGTGGGGTGTCATGTGATATCTTATTTTGAAACTTCTTATCGGTACTTTATAACCCAACAATATAAATAAATGAGGGTTAAATGTCTTTGTGTATTGAATTCCTTATAACCCAATAACTAATCATCAACACCCTAGAGTATGTGGGCCATAAGGGACTTATTACTTATTTGCATAAATTATTCCAGGGGAAGCAGAAAGATATACTATAGCCTTTTGACTACTGGCTGATTTTATATTTATATATAACTTCAAAATAGGGTATCGCATGACCCCTATGGCATCTAAAAAATGTTTCATGCAGGGGCAGTATTGCTGACAAATAGAAACTTTTCAAACTTATACCGGATGCGTCATATTCGACCCCCACTATTGCTAACTTTGAAAAGTAAAGTCATGCAAAGCCATTAATATGGAGCAGAGAGCTTATGGGATAGCTCTTAAAAAGTTTCGAAACAGTGTATTTACAAAAAAAAATATTTTTTCTAAAATCGTTTTCAGTTTTTGATAGCACTATTTGATATGCGAGTTCAAAAAGACTCGCACAATAAAAACAACATGCTTTTGCCCATACAGGGTGACATCATTGCAATTTCAATATGAAGTTTTGCCCATCATCAACTCAACAGATTTGCACCATTTTCTTAGTTACGTAAATGTGCCGCTCTGCCGCCATTTACGGATTTTGTATCTATCATTCCCAAGATACCAAAGGTGAGGGTATTTAAAACATCTGGCATATATGTTTGTATACCCTGTATATTTAAGCATCTATCCAGCTAACAGTAACATAACAAACTGTTCCATCCACAACAGAAGCCAATACAAATCTCTTCCTAACACTAGTCCCTAGTCTCCCATGTGCCACAAGTTCACTGGATGAAAATGATTCACTATCAGTAACACATTTCACTATGAAAACTGCGTGGTAACAAATTGGATCACCAAAATATACTAAAAAATCTCCACCAAATCTCACACCTTCTGTTATGTAGTATCCTCTATTCCATAGATCACTAAAAACAGCATATTTTAATTCAGTGGTGTAGTTGAGGTAGATGTCCTTGTAATTAAGAGTTTTTAGCTTAAAAGGAAGTACTGTCTGCAGTGTAAGAAACGTTGGCCATAACATATTGGAGTCTGTTATGGTGGCTGATTTTTCCAGTTCTTCATTCAGAATTTCTTCAGCATCCCTGAAATTTAGCTGTGCACATGATTGAAAATTAGTATCATATGGGAGGTATTTAAGATGACATGATAATATAAGAGAATGGTGAACCATGGACTATTTACTAGAATCATCAACACTAAGATTGTAGTGCACTATATGCTCATAATACTTTGCATAATTTTTTTGAATTCTTCTGGTACCAGAAATAAAATACTACTAACAGATATATTAAGGTGTCTTGTCTGTATGACAAATTTCTGTAAATGGTCTTTATTACAATGCTTACAACTAATATTTCAATAGATGTTTCAATGTTTAGCTGTATTTTACCTAAAATCATCATATTTCCTCCTCCCTTCAACAATTTTATCTATAATGGACTCCAACTGCTTTTTTCTAGCCTTTTTATACTCAACTGCTTGAGCTGCTAATAGGGACTGTTGAAATTTTTTGAACTCCTCCGAGTTGCTTCTGTCGATTTCTATGACTTTCATTGAAGCAATTTCTTTGTTTATTAGTAGAAGAGCTTCTTCTGGGAGGATTCTAACGGGTAAAGACGGTATACGACCTGTACTTCCTGCAATATCCCCCACAATTCTGTATGATTTCCTCAGGACTATCCAATCCTTTATGTCATAGATCAAAGTTACATTGTTGGAAAAAAACAAGTTAATCATATCACCTTGATAATACTTCAAATCAGTATAAAAATAAAGCTTTATATGTTTTATTTATTAACTTTGAATGTTTACTTGTTTACTATGTTTAACAGAGCGCGGTGTTTTTAGCTTTTTAGGTTATGCCCGATCATGTTTGTCAAAAACATCGAGCTGTCAAATGTATCGACCACAAATATCGACTATCGACATCTCAGGCACATACGATAGGGTTAAGCTGGTCCCACACAATGTAGCGAATACCTTACAACGTGGACACATGGCCATTCGCCACATCGTGTGGGAGAGCGCTGACGGATTACATGTGTCCAACGTTCGCCACATGGCACGCGTTCGGGCTCCTGTCGGTAAATTTGACCGGCGTCAAAGGACGTTACAATGTTGGAAGCATGGTTCGTTACGCTCCCACTCGAGATGTCATGTGTTTGATGGTTTTAGGTTAGAACCAGTAGCGACAAAAAAAATGATTTACTTGTTTGCTGTGATTGTGGTGAAGTAGTGGTATGTGGGAAGTATTTTGATTTGAATACCTAATAATGTATGTTCCTTAACTAACGTTTGAGGAGAATGAATTAAATTAGTATACGTACAAAGCATATAGGCTGCCATAACAACACTTTTTTCATATTGCTAATATTTTGTACGTTTCGCAGGTGAGTTATGGCTGGTCTAAATATATGTATTTTAGTAAATTATAAAGTATCAAGTGCTTACAGTTGTTTCATTATAATGTCCTGTTGCAATGCAAAACTAATTGGGGAATATATTGACTGGCTTTTCATAACTATCGAAAACGATTAAATAAATGATAAGGCTGAAAGTACTATTAGGATTTTGATGAAATTTTGACCCTAGGTTATTACTATGAAAATGACGAAAAAGATCTGCAGTTTTTGAAAACTGCTACCTTGGCAGCGGAGTTATCATCGAAAAACGAACAAAAAACGGTCAAACTTCGTTTTTCAACATTTCTGAGGCTTCTGGCAGAATTTTTGGTCGCTGAAGACAGATCTGAAATTATTTTTCGGTGCTCAAAAAAATTGTTTCATCGTTCATTTTGTATAATTTTTCCTTCAGTTGTAAAGGTTCAAGCGCGACACTGACACCGATAATAGACGTTGGCGCCACCATGCGTCGAACGTCCGAAAAAAGCTCATTCCATCGTGTAGGAGACACACACTTGATAATTGTGGGGTGTCGAACGTTGTAAACGTTGTATACAACGCTGGAAGCATCGTGTGGGACCCACATTAGTATGTAAGGTATGTATAGAAAGTAGCAATCACGCCAACTGAAACTGGACAGCCACAGCTAAATATGGATGGAGATGGCTATTGATTTGTACAACTTGATTCTTCGTCGCGTCGAGATATATATATATATACTTTGAAGTTGAGTCATTAATTTTCAGATAATGATTGTAGAAGGAAGATAAACCAAAATATGTGTGTAAAAATAAAAAAAAATGTTACCTTGTTTAATAAAGTATCCTCCCGACAAGTATTTCAGTGCGGACCTGTATTTGATCGTGCGGTCTTGGAGCAGCATGCCCTCACCTGTGAGGTCTTAAGTCACCTGATTCACGAGCCCTTTGCACTACATTAACAAAGGCACAAGGGGTTGGTTGCACTCGATTGGGAAACCGATTCGCATAAATCCGTGATGCATCCGGGAGCATTTCGTAAAGACTGCCCCCCCGTAAATAAGAATCATGTCCACAAGTTCAGCATTTTCGTAAACATGTGCCATTTTTGATTTCGTTTGAGCCACGCAACACACTACTATTCACTCACGTTTTATCGACTGACGAAAAACATCGTGATAAACGTTTCAAATTCTTTCGCTTTTTTGTTTCCGATGCGATGAACCGGTCAGGCGGATTATATCCGTTGTCGCCAAACACGAGCATATAATAGGCAGGGCGGTACTCAAACTTCCAAAGGGCTATAACTTTGTTACTTTAATTTTACCAGAAAAATGGTAAAGGAAAAAACATTTCTTTTGATCAGATCTACTCACTGTTAAAATAAATGACTCAACTTCGAAGTCACCCTGTATATCCATTTCTCATTACTTCAATTTGTTTTATTTTCAGATGAAAACGTCACTGAACTCCCGCTGAAATACAATACAAGGATTGAATTGTTCATTTCTAGATATGGTTGTTCAATTCAATTTTACATTCATATTTGTGCCCTATGGTATAACTACGGTATAAGAAAACATGTGAATATGGTCCAGAATTGAACTTCAGTCTGTTTTGTCAGCATGTCGAATATACCGAGAATTTTGTTACACACCATCATTTTTGTTTTTCGTCGATGAGTTCCATTTCATGAATCATTTAGATTAGATGGATGAAAACGGTTCAAAGGAATGCTTATCTAGTGTCTCCAGCAGTGCCGGACGTGCGTTGTCGAAATACGGGCATTTTGAGGATTTATGTGGTTGAACTCTCAATGGCTTTGAAATATGAACGATTTGACGGTTGCATGATGCATAATAGAGTATACTTGACGCAGCGTATTCTTAAAAATGGAATGATTTTTCATATCATCCTGTTCAATACAAGGCAGTCAGTACGCTTTCGTCGGGGATTGAATAAGCATATTTTCTCAAATGACTATAAATAATTACTCATCTATGAATTTTCAAAATGACTTTGGGGTCCCAAAAGAGGTTTTAAGTTCTCAAACAGTCCTCAACCTCATTTGAAAAGAACCAGAAGGCAATACTGACAAATTTCAATTATAGGTATTTGAGTACCTAAATAAAACAATGCAAACTGATATATCTAGTGCGTAAGTCGGACAAATGACATACATCAGTTTATCGGGGGGTAAAATGAACAGAGTTGTTGTCCGGGAGTAAATGTGAACGCAGCCTAGAAAGCAGAGTTCAGTTTCAATGACATATCGAATATAGAATTTATCTACAACTGACTACTGACATGACGTTTAACCCAATTTGACGTTCCTTTTATTTCAACAAGTTCTCCCTGTGGCATCTTAAAAACGTACGTATCTCAAAATCTGTAAATATTTCACAAATCAAAAATCATTTATGGTCTTTTTTGAAAAATTCATTAATCAAAATATATGAGGTAATATTATTAAGGTGTAGTTTGGGGCCGAATGGCTCATAAAGTGAAAAACTTGTCTTAACTCATGTGATCATTTTTTTAACTTTTGCCGCTATTTTCCTTCCCTCTTTCATAAAGAAAAAACTCAATTTTAATTACTTTACAGGTTTTCCGTAACTCTATAAAAACGTAAAGATGTCGGGAGGTTTAGAAGTTCTCAGCCTTAAAGAAGAGGATGTGACGAAGATGTTGGCCGCCGGTACCCACTTGGGTACCCCAAACGTGGACTACCAAATGGAACAGTACGTATACAAGCGACGTGCTGATGGTGTGCACATTATTAATCTCAGGAAAACATGGGAAAAGCTTCTCCTAGCCGCACGAGCCATCGTCGCTATTGAACACTCCAGCGAGGTTTTTGTTATCTCTTCGAGACCCTATGGACAGCGTGCTGTGCTGAAATTTGCTGCCCACACTGGTGCTACACCCATTGCAGGAAGGTTCACTCCTGGTAAGAGGATTTACTTGATGTAGAGAAGTCGTCAAATTCATTAGCATGTTTTAGTTGTAAGACTGAAATTGTTTTTACCAGAGATTGATATTTTAGCAGTTCACTCTGATCGTGATCAATACTAATTTTTTAAAACAACATAATGCACCAAATTTCACACTAGAGAGTACAGAGAGAAAACTGATAAAATTGTAGCTTGGCTACACTAGCTGTATTTTCTTCTGTTCTGGTAGATACTGTTTTTGGGTGACATTCATAATTTGTCAATCATTACAGGTTTGATTGATTTTTTACCATTTTTTTTGTAACCTATGTTAATCAATTGACATTTGACATCAAAACATTGCCAAGCTTAGTAATTACCTTGAACTTTATAGATAAAATATTAATGGTAATGTGAGGGTACAACCTGTGAAGCACATTTTGCTCTATCTTGCTTCTTTTCTATATAGTGTTGTGACTTCAAATTCAATATATTATACATTACTACCAAAATGCAGCCAAAGGTCATTTGATTTTAAAAATTGTCTTATGTCAGCAACTGATACATTATTGTTAAACCAGTCTGATGACACCTAACTAAGGAACCACTGACTTCCTGATTATACTTTGAGTCTGATCATTCGGACAAGTATTTCCCTACATTTGCTTTACCTATAAAATTCTCATCTCGTATATCTTTTTAGGTGCATTCACCAATCAGATCCAGGCAGCTTTTCGCGAACCTCGCCTTCTGATCGTCACTGATCCTGCCTTTGACCACCAACCAATCACTGAAGCCTCCTATGTCAACATTCCAGTCATTGCTCTCTGCAACACTGACTCACCTTTGAGATTTGTTGATATTGCTATACCAGGCAACAACAAGGCCCCACACAGTATTGGTCTATTATGGTGGCTTCTGGCTCGTGAGGTAATAACTCATTTTTATTAAAGTTGAAATATCACTGTTAATAGTGGTGGTTGCAACACATACAAGATATATATATATATATATGATGATACAATCTGTTCCCTTTATTTTGACTATCCGTGATATTCAAATAATTTTTCCACCTGATATTTTGTTGTTACACCACCAACATGTTACATCAAAGTAAGTATATTCATTTTTTTTTTGTAAATATTTTTAGGTGTTGCGTCTTCGCGGCACCATCACCCGTGACACCAAGTGGGATGTAGTGGTAGACCTCTTCTTCTACCGTGAACCTGAAGAAGCAGAGAAGGAGGAACAAGCTGCCAAAGAAGCTGTAGCTGCAGTCGTTAAGCCAGCTGAGATCCCTGCTCCACTGGATACTCAGGTAAAGACTCAATGATTGTTGAAACATTTCTTTTGTCTATACTCATCTAAATTCTTACAAAGGTCTGTTATGTAATGTTTTCGATTAAACTTCAAATCTAAAAAGAACAAAATAAAATTTATTCAACATTTGGTGCAAATACTGCCAATATGCTACTGTCAAATGATTTACTATACTGTTCTTTTTTTTTTTCAGGATCTGGACTGGACCACAGCAGAGCCTGCCGAATGGGCCCCAGAGCCACCTGCAGTAGCCCCTGCTGCTCCATTAGCAGGCGCAGCCCCAGCCTTCCCTGTTGCCACGGACGATTGGGCTACTGAAGTGGCCCAGGAGCAGTGGACCAATCCGCCCCAACAGGCAGCCACAACCAACTGGGGTGCTTCCACTGACTGGGCTTAAATTTTACTTTCTGACGTGTGATACACAAAATTTTGTATCAATAAAAAAAGTTATCTTGAATTGTTTTTTCATCATGCAGATACCACAAAACAAAAATTGTAGAGTAGAATCCCTACTCATATTGTAATTCATATATTACGGGCGTGTGGAATAAAACACCGGTTTTTCTTAGTCATCTTTCTAACGTGAACAATGCTGGCTACATCATAACACACATCACTTTAACAATCTCAGCGGTTCCTTATAAAAATACAAATGCACACAATATTTAATATTATTCGGAAATACACTAATAATAACATACTTTGGTGTGAAAAGAGTGATAACCAACAAATAACTTATTTATCAATAATAAAAATAGTTCCCAATACCCAATCAACATATTACAAACAATAATTACACATATTAAATTCTTAAGGTCTCTGCTCTCATTAGTTTCACATATTGAGGCTTTCAAAGTTGATGAAATAGTATGTATATGCGATGCATATTTACGCATTTCCGTACCACATTTAGAGGTCTTGGTATCAAACTTTGTAATTTTGCAATGAGTATTTTCATTCTTCGAATATCAGGCTTCTGTATCCGGAGAGCAGAAACGATGAGATAAACTACTCACAGCTATAATGTGCCTTCAATTACGTATTCCGTTTATGCGATCCTGGTAGCAAATTTTCGCCCATTACACCAGGAGTGTAGGCCTTTTCACATATCTTTGGATTTCTGTAACCCTAATACCACATATTGGTTATTATTAAAATTACAATATCTGAAGATTTGACAGTCTTATTAGAATGCGAAATATGGACGAGTATTAAAATTCCGTGTCAATGACAGGATGAGAGGTAATTGCATGGGCTTTGAATTTCACCTGTTTTGAACAGCAAAATTTCAAAAGCGTTAGAAGGAAGGGCCACTGTGCCCAAAAGATTATGCATCAGGCTGAAAATAAAAATGCACCTTAAATTGAAGATTTATTGGCAACAAAAATATATAAAACAATCTGTATACAAAATAATTTACAAAGTGAATAATAACTACATAATATTTACAGTTCTCTTTCAACAAAATTTTATATCAGTAGATTGAAAATGCGCACGACTGAAACCGAAGTCTATGGAAGTTTGAAACATAGCAAAACTTGCCTCTATATTCGCCGGCAACAAGTTGATAAACGAATGAAAATGCTAGGATCAGATTCAACAAGCTATTTCTGGGGCTTAGCAGAGACATCAATGTAAATCTAATTGCTTGCATTTTACAGGCCAAAGATAAGGTGGTAGAAAAGGTGTTATTATTCACTAACCTAGGCAAGCAACATTTGATGTTGAAAAATAAAAATCAGATGTGCTAACAATTATTTTAAATTCTGCAGCCCAAGTTGTCAAAATGTGGAGTTACTAGAATCTTTTGAATTCCAATCAATACCAATATGTACTTCTTAGATCATTATCAGAATATTGAAAGAAACTTAGTTGGAGTGACTGAAGTTACATACTAATATCATGGAAAAATTGATACTGCCACAATTTTGTAATCATTTCGTTTAAATATTCAAACCTTTTTAACCACCATGTACCCATAGTTTGCTAATTCCATTCCAAAACGATTTTACTATAATCGAACTGTCCATATCCACAAAAGCATTAAAAAATAAAGATATCTCACTTTAAACGAATAATGCACAAACAATAATATATGCCTCATTCCAACAACTTAAGCTAATATCTGTTCGAACTTATATTTGGTTTTCTAGATATATGCACGTATTTCATACTTAATAGATAAATTTAAAATGTACTCCTGTACTGTAGAGTACATCAGTCTCAAAAGAATCACCAAACTAACGCTAGCATATATCTAGAAATAAATCATTATCAAAATGTATGTAGAACTAGATTAAAAATGACTGGAACATGTACATTACCCACTTTATGTCCAACCTATAATTTTATCGCTAGGTATCAATTACATCACACAAGCATATTGAACAATGAACACAAATTAAAATTCAGATATAAAACATATTTGCATTGAAGCTTTGCAGTAAGACATCACCTGAAGATTATACAGGATGTCCAGTGGGAAAGTTCACATTTCAAATTTGAATTACGCGGCAACCGAATACGCGAGGAAGTGGGGAGAGGTCTTGATCGACGCGTTCGGCGTGCGGGTTAAATAGTCACAATGGAACGTTGGACCAGAGCTCAACGTGCTTTTGCTATAGAGGCTTACTTTAAAAGTGGTGATTCATAGGCAGCAGCCCTTCGGAAATTTTGTACACGATACAACATTCGCCGACCAAGATATGCCTTAAATAAGAATCTATTGAAAAAACAGGCTCTGCTCTTAGTCAACCCATTCCTGGCCCGACACCTACTGTACCAACCGAAGAAAATGTGCGTCGAGTAAGTGATTCGATCATTGCAAATGCTAGGCGTTCTGTACGTAGTTAAACACTGCATGGCTTAATGAAGAAAAAAATGGGTTTTCATCCTTATAAAATCCAATCGGTCCATGCTTTAAAGTAAAGTGATTGCGTATTACGGAAATCTTGTGCTGAACGGATGTTGAATCATTTTCCTACGCAGCGCAGTCGCGAGAACGTTGTTTTCAGTGGCGAGGCCCAAGTTCACTTAGACGGTCAACAAGCAAAATTGCATGTATTGGGCCAAAGCCCAAAAGAGAAACACCAACACCAAAGGGGACTGTTTGATGCGCCCACTGGCGGTATTATTGGACCGTATTTCTTGAAGATGAAAACGGTCATGCATAGACAGTCAATTCTGAGCGATACAAGGACATGATTGACACTTTTGTTACTCCTATTGTAAGAACAGAACGTCGATTTAACAGAAACAGATGGTTTCAACACCATGGGGCCACTGCCCAGACTTCCAGAGAATCGATGGGCACGGTGGAAGCACTTTTTCCTCAAAGAGTTACATCGAAGTTTGGAGACATTCACTGGGCTCCTAGGTCACCCGACCTCACGCCATGCGATTTCTTTTTTTGGGTTATCTAAAGTCAAAAGTGTGTTCCAATAATCCACGAATACTGGATAAGCTTAAAGATAACATTCGACGAGAAATAAAAAACATCACTCCGGAAGAAGAGTATGTCCAAGGGATGGCAAACATTTGGACGGAATGAAATTTCAGAAATAAAACCCGAATTTACGAATATGTTGATAGTAATAAATATTTTTTTAAATCCAAAAGTGAACTTTCCGACTGGGCACCCTGTATATTCAGCAATCTATGGAACTTGGCGATCTTGACAAAAAACACATTTTGTCGTCAGAGTCGAAAATTGATTTTAAGCGTCTTTTACCTGTTTGCACAATGAATAACCCGTTTTATACTATGTTAATATTGCAGTCAAAATTTTGCTTGCATTCGACTAGTGTGGAACAAAGATTACATGAATTTAATAATAAATGCATAAACAAATCATCTCAAATATGCATAAGTGACTTTAGATTAAGAATTTTTGGTACACTTCATAGTTCTATGCGAAATATTATTTCGAATAAAATAAAGTGAACGGTAAAAAATGAAGCTAGTTATTCTTGAGCAATTATTTTAAAGAAATTCAAGTGACGATCTATGCGAATGTAACGTATATCATTAAAACAATATGTTCACAAAAGATAAAACTGCATAAAAACACCATGGAAATATTTAAGCAGTATAGGTGGTACGAGCATCGTATAAGTGCGTATGTTCAAAATCAATTTATAATGGTTGCAGAAGTTCACTTGCAATACGTTATTATAAGTGTAAAACAACGTACAGCAATTAAGTACCTTCCATACTAGCATCTGGCTGCAGAATTTGAACTGTTGAGAGTATGGTTTAGAATGCATTGATACCGAGTATCTAGGGAATATGGCGTAAGGTCTTTGGTGACGGGCTCAGACCAAGAGTTCTCTAGAGATTATCTCGATGGCTAAATTAATCACTAACAATGACGATGACCTGTTTAATCATATTGCACATTCTGGGATTCATCTGCTCGGTTCTAGTGAACGGAACCATTGTTTTGCACCGAAAAAGTATGATCTGAGTGTTTTCAATTTTTTCTACAAACTTGTTGTCCAAAGCTCAATCGAAGATTTCGCGACAAAGCTGTAACGTAGTGTGAGTATTAAGATTTACCAGGTTCTCAGAATGGGATCCTACATCTGCCACGAATAAACTTCAAATCATATTCTTCAGCGGGAAATTCAGCGGATCTAAATGAGTTCTTATTACCGTGTAATGTAAAAAACAAAATAATTCAACTATTAAAAATGCAATTTTGTCTAGGTAAATAATACCCCATTTGCGGTATAGATGGTTTATCTGTCATGCAGATAACCTGAACTATCAGCACTGTCAGTCTGCAAACAACTTCAACAATCACTACCGTAGGGACCCTACCACCAACGCAAAGATCACACCAACATTTGCATTGAATCGTTCTAGTAATAGACCAATAGGCCCCACAGGAAGGTTTAAGCAAAAAGGGATACACTAAGGGAAGACAGACAAGGCAAAGAAATTAGAAAAATACCGGTCCTAAGAAACTTAAGGGTCAATATCGTTTAATTACGTGTTGTTATTTGGCGAAGAAAAATGCGGCGTTACCAGATAGGTAACTCTTTTGGACGAATTTATTGTAAGATCAAGCTTTCTTTGTTCAAATTTCACGATATTTCATTTGAACTTACACTTACTCATGGTGGACTCTCTCTAACCTACTTGCAATATACCAAATATATTTTTTATGTACAGTGTACGTCGTATGTTGGAAAATATTTATACAACTGTATTAATCAGACCAATCACAAAAGGTATCCGACATTCTAATAATTCTTTCACGTGCACCAGTGGATCCCCTATTATAAAGTATTCTGGCCAAAACATCATTAAAATGTGATTCACACATATGAGGATTTATTTAGCGGTAAGACAATTATAGCGTTTTATTAGACCTGACAGTCATATTTTGACAAATAAGATCGTTAAATTGCACTCTGTATCAAATATTTTGTCAAAGTGTGCAACATCTTTTTGAAAAATGAACGTAGGGAATATGTGAGGAATATGCAGAATAAACAGAATTTAGCAGTCGAGTGTAAAAAGATTTTTGATAGTTTTGTGTTGGAATTTTTTTAATTGCTGGTCGGATAGCGGTGTTAGGCGATCCTGGTGCGCGGCGCGTGGTAAAGACAGGTGATCGGGAATCCTCATTATGGTATTCCAGATACTCTTTGGACATAATTGCTGTATCTGCGAGTTAGTATTTGGTATTGCTGACCCACTTTTAGCTTTTCAGAAATACAAAATTAATGTTGGAAACAAGCTAAACAAATAGGATTCAAGCCAAGATGGAAAATATAAGGAAAAAAGTTTATTGGAAAAGGACGCTATGAAGTTAAAAATGTATACACAAGAGGGTGAAAAAGCACGACATGTAAGTCTAAACCTAGGATATGAAAAGTTTAGTTCAAAAGAAATTTTAAAATTAACGGATTACACGATTTCAATATAAGAAAAATTAGTGAAAGTACGAAAAAACGGATGTACTAAACAAGCAATTTGGAAACATGCGGAACTCATCTACAAATGGAAATACAAAGAAATCCAAATATCACTGACGTCATAATACGTACCAGAGAGAAGCGTGCAATATGTATATTAGAAAGGATACGCCGTCACTAGGGTTGCTAGGCAACCTGGTGCTTATATATATTTCTTACATATGTATTGCACGCTTCTCTGTCGCACATATTACGACGTCAGAAGTATACGGATTTTTCTGTATATCGGCGAGGTATAGTAGAAAGCTCAAAAATGATAATAAATCGAAAAGAAGCAACAAGAAAAAATGCAGAACAATGTTCATCATCAGAGCTGTAACCATTCTCAAAAATTAGAATCCCTAAATATTATAGTCATGGTGATGCCAAATGAATATCAGGAGTTCAAAAGCGCAAGACATTGCTGAATTTATAAATCCGATCGAAAATAGGAATTGAAAAAGTTTATGAACTAAAAGATGGTGCAGTAAAAATTCAATGTAAGACCAAGAGGTATATTAAAAAATTACATAAAGAAAATGAAGCAAAAATGCCAACAAATTATGCGATATAAGTTCCAGAAATCATTAAAAGGCCACATTAAAACTATTGGCTTTTGTCAAGATTACGCAGCAGATAAACTAATAAACGTTAGTAAGTCACAAAATGACTGAGGATAATACTTGATAATTGCAAATAAATCTTTCTACTAATAAAACGTTGTTGTTTGAAATATGTATAGCAGGTTTTAAATATATTCTAGTCAACACTGCATGGACTCTTCTGCCTTCGGTTTGGCTGTTCACTCATAAATTACTGTTTTTGTTGTAAGATGTCGTGAAATAGAGAACCAGTATTGCAGTGCCATGACAACTTAAAGGGGCAAGGCGAATCATGGTGACCGGCAACATTCAAAGGCATTCTGCGCAATGTCATCTCTTGGTATACCTACTCCTTGGTCTAAGGCTGCGAATCAAGTCACCTGCCCAAAGGTAGATTCAACATACAAGTAGCATCAACAATCAGTATCTATCACATCATAAGAACAACACATATGATTGCACCGAACAATTTCTTCAAAGCATCCTAGTAATAGCCCAGCAGGCCCCACAGGAAGGCCTAGGGCTGCGAATCGCGTCACCTGCCCTTACTACCTGCCTCCAGGGTGTACACGCTAATGCTGCAGTCTTGCGTTCCAGTGGCTAGAGCGACCCTATGTGGGTGGTAGTTCAGGCAGGTCACGGGGCCGATTTTGTGACCCATGAAACCTTCGTAGACGCGAATCGTGTTGATCAAAGTGCCCTTCAGGGTGTAGATGCTTATGAATTGGTTCAAGGAACCGCTGGAAGGGAAACATACAAATTATCTAAGCATCATATGGGTGTTCTACATTGGAGCAACAAAACCCGATAAAATGATTCTGACTCTTCAGTGCGGTTATGGGATTATCAGACAAAAAAGATTTTCACCTGCTTGCAATAACAAGTAGTCTGAGAGTTTGCAACTGCAAAAATTGGCCAAATAATTAAACTTCCAACATCAAACAGAATTGTCGAAATACCCCTGGATCATCCTAAATTTATTCATCAGGAGACAACAAATCCCTAGTTTGTGATTGATGCATATTTACTATACAAATATGTTTGACTCCACACGGATCAAAATCTGAGAGTTCTATTCATTTTTATGAGTCCCGATGAGTAAAACTACGGCAATCTATTGGCCTTTACTGTATATTATTTATACTGCAGACATTTTAAATTCACTTCAGAACCTATAAATACGCGTATGCAGATGACACTCCGCTCATATATTCTATGTATGCAGATGAAATACCAGAAATCCAGCACAGAATTAACTCTGACTTGAAAGAACTACATGTAAGATCAGAAATTAACAACTCACAGCTTAATCCTAGAAAATCTGCAATTCTAGTGTTTGGCAATACAAAATCCGCACAACGGATCAAAAATATCGAATTAAACACGGATTTTGTTTCATCAGTAAAGAATTTGGGACTGATTTTTGATGGAAAACTGAAATTTAATGTACCAATAAAATAAAAGCAGCATGCTTTTCGCTTAAATTGCTTTATACGAATAAATCCACACTGAACTTCAAGTTAAAAAGTATATGTCAATCTTTAGTTATACCTCAATTGAAATATGGTGACGATTTAATGGACCATGTTCAGAGTTACAGGATGAATCTAGAATTAAAAGATTACAAAAAAGTTGTTGCAGGCTTATATTTAGACTAAGGACGTACGATCATGTCAGTTCTAGTACGAGTATCAATAAGTTTTCCTGGCTGAACATGCGTAATAGGAGATTTCTTCACATTTTAATGTTAATTTTATAAATGATGTATATCAATATTCCTAATCTTAATGACAACAGTCGTCTGGTCAATTTCCCACAGAACTTTGCACTCCAATTTGGAAGAACTACCCAAGATCATATAAGTATGGTAGCAGAAATACTTACCAAGCATATGTGTGTGCGCTGCGATGAATGGATAAACAAGACATTCCGTAATTTTGGATTGCTTGTGTTCTATGTATCGAATCGTTTCTCCTAATATCGTATATTCTAATATCACCTTCAGAACTGCAAATAACGTATACAAAATATTTAGTTCAAATTGAATAAAATATGTTTTTATAAAATAGACATAATCCATTGCTCAGCCATTCACAATAATTTGGAAGTAATTTATTTAATTTGGGAAAAAAGATACAAAACTGTAATCATTGTTTGATAAAACCGCTAACATACCCAATATGACGTAAAAAATTATTAACAAATGAGCGTTACATACTGCCATCGAACGTTTTTGGATATTTTTAAATCCAACTTACCTGCCGGATATGACCAGATTATCCCTCATCTGCACGGCAAGCACTTTCCCTGGATGTTCCATCCACATTTTGCACCTCGCCTCGTTTGGTGGGCACCGCCGGTCAAACAGCCTAACCGACCCGTCGGCGCATCCCGCCACACACAGACCCGTACGGGGTCCCTGCGCAGGCTCCGCCTCCTCGGAAAACAGGCAACCGTTCTCGTCGGACACGGAGAAGTCCAATAGGTTGAACGATGGCTGCCACTCGTGGCAGATGGAGGAGTAGGTGGAGTCGAGACATGTTACCGAACTGTCGGTACCTAGAAGAAATTCGGAGAATTTTTATTTACACCGAAGCAGCCGCGCCGGTAGACGCCTAAATGCCAGGATGATTTTTTATTTTTGATAGAACTTAATATTGATTGCAGTTCAGAAATGTCCGTAGGATAAAGTGAAAATTTCTGATTTATATTTATATGATTTAGGTTTGTTAACAGGTCATCAGTATTTAGAATAAGTATTTTTTAGTTTTTCTGCTGTTGAGCAGAAATAATCATTGAGTGCGTCGGAATTTATAGGAGGTATGAGGTAGGATTTTTGCCTCTTACTTTCCATGCTTCCTTGGTTCTATTTCCCGAACTGTGCACCAAACTGTAGCAGTTTTGGTGCGGACGTCATCATATATGGTCATCTAATTTTCATAAGAACGGATTCATGTTAAGAAAAATGTTTGTCTCCGACGATTGAAAGTTGCAGGGTGGGCGATATCGGAGATTGCATCTTGCCGATGCATACGAGGAGTGCGGTACGTCTAGAGGGGACATCTCACGACTCAGGTCTACCAAGGTAATTTCACACAAAGATGCAACCAATTTATTGAAAAAATTCGAAGACTTACAAAAAAGAAAACATCGAAATTTCACCGTCGTTTCAAATAAATTCATAAAAATATTAATTTGATAAATCTACTCATGAAAACGAACATCTTCAAGTTCTCACCTGTCGGGATATCAAAAGCCTTCAATTCACATTCAGCATCCCAGAATCTTAAAAGTCTAGTATCACCACTGCTTATAAGCGTTTGGGTCCATTGTTCCCATAGCATCACAATTCCTGGAATATATAATATAATAATCCTTAGTTACAATAACAATTATTTATGCCTAACCTGAGTGCACTGGCGGTTTGAGATCTGTGAAAGCCTGCCAAGCGCTGATAAGTGTAGGTCCCCTACCCGTCCCTTCGCAAGGCTTCCACAGTTTTATGGTGCCGTCATCAGCTGCCACCATCAACATGGCTGTATCATGGGCATTTATCCATTCCAGCGCCGTCACTTTACTGTGGTTCATCCTAGTCGACTTGTTCTGGCAAAGGGTCGTTTTTGCACCTGTTCCCCAATCCCATATGCTGAAAATATTTAATGCGGTGCTATAAGAATCTAACAATGTAAACATATAGCATTTGCGGGGAGCAAATTGCATAGTGGGGGTAGATAGTGGAATGTGGGCGTGACCAAGGGCGGATTTAAGATTTCGTCTAGGGGGACGCAAACGATATTTGGGGCTGGTAATTTTTTAACATCAGTGGAACTGCCCAGTTATCCTTAGAAAGGCAATATTTTATTATATGGACACAAAAGAAGTACGTGTCACTTATAATTAACTAGTGTCATAATATCTACTCAAGATTAAAATATAAAAAACTTCATTGCTCTGTTAACCGAAAAAAAAAAATTCTGAGGGACCCCGAGACATATTCTAGTCCATTCCACACAAAACAATGTCTTTGGTGGCGAAAACGAACATTAGACCGAAAAATTTATATTATCGTTTCTTTTTCTTCTAAGCAAATTCAAACATTTCGTCTCCAAACTTGGAAAGTAGCGCTCGGGTTTTGATAGAATTTTAAAGAAAGGTTTTACTACTGTGTCAAGCACAAAAAATGTTTTAGGAAATCGTTTGTTCCACCACAGCTACAGAAAAAGAAAGAAACAAAAATCACTCAAGTATAATTCAACATTTTTGTCGTTTCAGACACCTGCTCATTTTTGAAAAAAAAATACGGGTTAAAAATTGGGAGATGTGAGGATGTAGATGGTAGTATATTTAAGTTTCCAACCCCAGTAATTCTACGAACCTATTAAGACATATTTCATGCATCATAGATTTCCCCTTACATTTAGCCTGAATAATAGAGAAATATTTTCAATACACGTGTCCCACGCAACGTGTGTATGTAGACCAACCTGCATCGAGGTCTGACCGGTAGTTATCTGGCAAGTGGCTAGGTTAGTCACAGCAACGCAATGTAGAAAGTACTATCGGCAGGGAAGGGGAGAAATCTCTAGATAATAACGTTGTCAAATGAACTTATAATATGAGACTAATTGGCTTGACATTTAACTTTTTACACATACTTGTTTGTAGCTAACATTTTTATTTTTTATACATATGTTTACTCACGCAAAGTAGTCATTTCCAGCAACAGCGATTTGTTGATCAAACGGATGCAGCTGTAATAACGTAGGTGGTACAGCTGTTCTTGTATTGAAAGCTTGGTAATCCAGCCTGCAAGATAACGCCCTCCGCTGCTCATCTGATGCTTCACACCGTATGCTGGCATTCCTAAAAACAGAAAAGATATATTTTTTTATACTCCAACCACCACGAAGGCCTAAACACCCATGGGGTACCGTGGAGCTATAGGGGGATACAGGGAAAGGGGGAACGCCACACGGACTCTGGCGAGGGAACATGTGTGCATGCAACATGCACACATTCTGGCCCCGCCTACGAGATCCGCCGGGTGGTACCTCTGCGTGCGACAGTCAGAGACCGTCTACCACCTACGGACAATCACATGGCGACTGATCAGGAGACTGAAGAGTCTACTACTGAGGCCACCGCTGTTGCCTTTTATTCGAATTATTCGTATACGTGGCTCCTGAGTAACCCTATATCAAAATTTGTAGGGGCCCTAAAACGCGAGGTATAGATGTTTGACAGAAGAAACAAATGCACTTGAATTGAATAATAAAATAGTTACATACTGACTAATGACTTTTACTATTAATGCCGAGCATTCAGGATAGTATGATCGGGAAACTTTTAGAATACGAAATAAAAAGTGTTTGATGTTTTGCGATATCACAAGTCAGATCTGTCTATTGATCACCCCCCCCCCCCCCTCCCGTCTGTTAGCGTTATTTTACTCTCTTATTCCCAATAATCTGGGGAAAATATTTTGTGCATAATCTTATTCGAAAAGTCTTGCACTTTTGGAAATACCGTACGTTTGAACCATCAAAATCTGAATTATTATATACAGAAAACGCGGTGTACCAGAGAGATAACCTCATAATAAATTTGAATTAGACGAGATAATTTTAAGTGTGATAAAACCAGAACTTTGTTGAACAAATGTTGCATCATTCAAATAAGTAGAATCATTGGAAGATGAATGACTCTACAACAATTTTACTGATATGTGTTACATGAGGAATGGTTTTTGGTCTCGTATAAAATCGGCAATCTCCAGTTTAAAAAGTTCACTAAGGTTATATAAACTGCAATTTAGATAGGAAGTGAACAAAAAATCTCCTACCTTGCATATCTCCAGTCCTTTTCATAGTACACAGCCGACTCAATATCCCTATTACTGGTCCTGTTCTTATTCGATTGAGCAAATCTCCTAGAAGACCATTCCACAAATTTTGTTTCTATCAAGGGCTTTCGATGTGCCTGTGCATTTTGATCACCTTCTTCATTTATGGCACTCCTATACATTTTCTTCCTGTTTGACATTGCAGACCTACAAATGAAATAAAAGTACATAAAAAGCAAGCATAAACAATCAATCATTTGAGCTTTGGTTGTTAAATTAACCACAACTGCTTAGTGCAAATTGCTTCAAAAACGAACAAGAAATTACAAAAATGTACATGGTTGACTTACCTATTAAGTTTCTGCATGTCACCTGTAGGATGCAGTGTTGGAGGACTCTCTCCAGAGAAATAGTTTCCTCTATTTGGACTTGGCGGTAAACTCATACTAGAAGTATTCATGCTATTAGCACGATTGTCTTGATTTTCCAGTTGTTCCTACACAGAAAAATTGGCTTCAAGTCGGTTCTCACGCAACGCTGTCATCAGTTGATAAAAGAAAAAACAAACAAGTATATCATCAAATTAAATGGATCAAATCAGTCAAATTGGCTCATACAACTAAAGTTTGTTTATTTAACTTGCTCTTATGTGCATTTTCTAAGCTTTTTAAGATTTGACCACCCCCAAATATGCTACCTCCACCTCTTCAAAAGTTTTGGAGAGAGGTAAGCTGTCCCGCAGTTATCTCTTGCCAATGAATAGCTCGCCTGATAAAAATTCCTGCGGGCGCACATGATCGTTGCTCTGACTAATCCTCTGTGGATGACGATATTGACTTTCACCTTTACAGCCAACAGCAGTACGGAAGTGACTGTCGACCATCGGCCGGAACATGGCTCAAGCTACTCTGTTGGAGATCCTTCTAAGTTTCAGAGGTAAATGTACGGGGACATTTAATACGGGTGAAATTATGTCTAATACGTGCGTAGAATTACTGGGGTAGGAGGCGTATACCCTTCCCTACTCGCTACAACCGCTAAACCCTAATTTTTAAGCCCTATTCATTTTTTTCAGAAAATTATCAAGAGCTTCTGGAACCTCAAAAACGATGTTAAGCGCTTTCCGTTTTGCCCCGTATCTCCGTCGCTAGTGGATCGATTTTCAAACACTACAAAGCAATTTCGTCCTGGCATAGTAGTAACCTTGTGTTACATCCTATTCCGAGACCGGCCAACGGACAGACCGATTGACAGACGCCAGTAGGCGTGGAAAGTAAAAATAGTTTATCAGAAATTCCTTATTAACGATGTTTTAAGGCCTTTCCACACTCACGCGAGAATCTCGCGAGGAAGCGAGAAAAACATGAGAAATGTGAATGTGGAACCGATTTTCATAATCTTCGCAGGTTCTTGGCTTGTTCTCCGATTTTTGTCGGTTTTTTTGCGCGAGACAAAAGAGCTGAGAACCCGAGAACAGGCGAGAACTTGTATTCACTCCACACTCGCATGTTTCTCACTGGCAGCTGACTCGCCGATTAGAACAGTTGTGCATCAATATCAGCCGGATTTGGACGAACGAACTGGAATGGCATTCCTAGAATATTTTCAAGCAGAATCGATTTTGTAGAAAACAAATTTAAAAGATTATAAAAATAAACTAAAAACCCACGATGCGTGGAAACGTATTAGTACCTTGATGGAATTACCCAATGGAGAATTAAATAGCAAAAAAATTCTATATAGCCAGCTGCAGAGGGTATAAAAATAAAGTCAAGAAAACGGAAAAATCTGGTGCTGGTGTCGACGACATTTAATTCTGCGTCTATCGCTATCGAGCACGAGAAGTGTATTGAGAACCTTGCGAGTGTGGACCCAAAGAAGTTCTCGCCGAGATTTTCGCTGAGATTCTTGACGAGATTATCGGAGAGATTCTCGCGTGGCTGTGGGGCGGCTTTTACGGAAGTAAATCAATGAAAACAGTAAAAGTTCGGTCACATACGTAAGAGACCCTTTTCATATAACATTACATATTTCAGCTGCAACCCAAAAAACGTTTCTCGCTTGTGACTGCACCCATCTTTTATGAAATATATACACACAACTTGTTTTCATAAGGCGGACAAAATGACGATCCTTACAGGTGTCGATGCCGTATTTTTACGCATTCCTGATCATCAACATTGTATGTGATGCATTAGTAGTCAAAAATTGCTTAATATAGCTTATGCTTAAAAACAAAGGAATGTTGCCTACAATCCATTGTCATAGGAGCAACCAGCCATAGTTTTATTCGCAGTCAATGACTGTGATAAGTTATACATCGCATGAGCACATCCAAAATCACAGACTGAAAATCCTCAATGCACAAAGTGTAAATGATTCTTCAGGAACCAGTTAGAAATCATCAGAAGTTGACTTGCATCTATGCAGTAAACATTATCTGACCATTTTTCACCTAAAATTTTGAAACATGATGTGAGCAAATGAGATTCTAGTAAAGTCCCTACCTTGATCATCGACTTAATATATCCAGTGACACTAATGCACAGTTTGGCCACGCTAGGTGAAGGATCGATTTCCAGCGCACAGAGCGCCATCCAAATCTTTGTACACACGGAACCGCAACTGAGACTAGAAAGAGCTGTCATGCTGCCACCGGTGTAACTTTGCGTCATCTGCTGACTGATACTGTTTATGGCAGAGCTGGAAGCCACGCGCTTCATACGGTCTGTTTCGTCTCCTATACGGAGCATGTCTCTGCAAGAAATAACGATTACAATATATCAGATAAAGGTTTGTAAATCAGCGAGTCAACTGATGCAAGGAGGTGACTACTGGTACCTGGTGTGCCATAGCTTGTTAGTTACGTCTAGGATACAAAAACCCCGCACCAGAGGCGGATTTAAGATGACGCACACAACGCACCGTGCGCTGGGCCTAGGAGAAAAGAGTGACACGCAGACAGTTCCATGTGTTTCAGAGTAGAGAAAATTTTATTTTTTTGAGGATCATGACGCTCCTGCACTTCCCTCCCCCGCCCTTCAGTTTTCGAAAGGCAGAGAACCTTAATTTCGCTGTCACGCTGTATCTTAGATCCGCCAGTGTTTCTTATATTTCATTTATGGCATTTCTGACTGCCATTGACAGTAGGTTAGAAAACGAAAAGTGAGTCATCAATCAGCTTTATACTAGCTTCCAGGGTACTTCAACAGGTCAAAATACAACGACAAATAACAGCTGATTCTTTAATATACCCCATATTATCCATATACCCTATTTCACGAGTATCCATCACGCTTTGACGTCTACTGAGGTGAACAACTGATCAGCAAGTCACATTTTTGTGTTGTGTTGTGTCTGCAGCAGTGGCAATAATGAATCGAAATCAGAATTATGTGTCCTTTATACTCGTGAAAAAGCCTATAAGCGAATTCCATGAAGACTAGAGACAAGAGGTTGAAACACGTATTCATATGAAGCCAATAATGTCGCCAAGGATGGTGTTGCTGTCGGAAGTCGTATGGGCGTAGGACTTGGCCTAGAGCAACTGCGCATTGAAAAATGTCAAAACAAACTGACGTAATCTTTATGAGCATTTCACTCATGTTTTGCCATGCTTTGTAGGTTTATAACTTTGTAGGTTATTGATATTACCCAATATTTCTGCGTGCAACTCGTCCGAACTGTCAAAATCGGAATATCTGCTGTCATGATGACAGCAACAAAGAGAGATGCCACATGCGCAGAACCTGAAATTCATTTTCTGCGCAGTGTACACACGACAGACTTTCCTTATGCGCAGCACCTGAAATTGATTTACTGCGTAGTGTACCAACTCACTTTAACGTAGGCATTTTTTGGCTTCAACCTCGCTCCATGAGTTTAACCTCCTGTCTCTAGTCTTCATGGTGAATTCGTTGACAGTGGTCTAGAATGGTTCTGATAATGACGTAATTAATTTCAAATTGGTTTAGACCAACATTTTGATTAATATATATGGTTATACAATATGAATATAATACAATAATTTTGTATTGTAGAACGGGTAAAACTGTAAAGATAGACAATCAATATTTATATCAGAATTTTTATAAACTGCATAATGTTTATCTGTATTTAATAGCCACTCATGTAGATCTTTTTTTAAAGATGTTATTTTGTTTTTTCATACGTGTTGATGTTTTATACAGGGTATAAACGTTATGGTAGTCATTATTGAAATGGGTAATAGGGGGGAGCCAACACAAGTCAAAAGGTTCTTATGACCCATGGTCCAAAGTCAATAGATTTTTGTCTAAATGGCTTTATAGTTTACAACTTTAAGTGCTTTATATCGACCACAATCACCATAATCTTACCAATTTTTATAATCGAATCTAAAACTGTTTTAAATTGGGTAATTAACAAATAAATGGCATTAAGTTTATCTAAGTTAAGAAAAAATTTGTAGTCAGTAAGTAAGTTACATTAAATTAAATATTTAAAACACACATGACAACAGCGCGTCGGTCTTTCATCACTCTTATCGAACCGGCAATCGATCGCAAACGGTAACAGTGGTTAGTTATCGTTTTGCATAGGTAAATTACTTTATCGTTTTCTTCGAGCAGAACATCGGGCGTGTTGTTGTTTTTGTTCGCGTACGTCGTCGTGTTTATTTACAATGTTTTCGAATCAAGAGTTCGCCGACATGTTGTTAGTTTACGGTGAAGCTCGTCAGAATTTAAATCTTGCAGCTCAAATTTATCGCGATAGATTTCGCCAACGGGTACACTCAGACAGGACATTTGAGCAAGTGTACCAAAGACTTCGAGATACAGAAAGTGTTCAGCGCACTAATATTCGCACTCGTGAAAGACAGGTTAATGAAGAGCAGGAGGAACAAATTTTAAATATCGTGGAAATTTATTATTACCATGTACAACGAGTGCAGGCCTTGTTACCAGAAGACTATCCTCGCAGACTAACATTCTGTCAGTGGTCTTTGCACAAAAACCTTGAAAATCCGGATTTTTTTATAAACATTCTAGCGACGGACGAATGTACTTTTACGCGAGACGGGATATTAAATTTCCATAATACTCACACGTGGGCCCAAGAAAATCCTCATACCATTCGTGAAGGTCATTTCCCACGTATTAAAATAAATATTTGTGCGGGTATTCTTGACGATCAGGCCTTTTCGAGTTACCCCCAAAGTTGTCAGGAGAAGGATATCTTAGCTTTCTAGCCAATAACCTTCCAGAACTTTTGGAACATACCTTAGACAACATGCCATTACAACGGAGACAGCATTTGTGGTTTCTTCATGATGGGGCACCACCACACATTTTCAGAGGCATCATTCAGTATTTGAATGAACATTATCCAAATCGCTGGATCGGTTGAAATGCTCCTGAACCTCGAAAATGGCCAGCAAGATCTCCTGACCTCAACCCGATGGATTTCTGGTAATGAGGAGAACTTAAAGGGATGGTTTATGGGGCTGGTTCAATAACAACTGAAGCACAACTTCGCGAAAAAAATTTTAATGCGGCTGAAAGAATAAATGGACAACTTCGACGACCTAGAGTAAGAAAAACTGGGTTCGACGTAATGACGCTTCTGTGGAAAGTGGAGGACGATATTTTGAACACCTTCTTCGAATACAAAAAAAGTGCAGTGTGGGTTTTAAAAAGAAAAACAATGTATGAATCAAAATTGTGTTCCCTATTTATAAGTGGATTTTTTTAATACGTTCAATAAACTTTCACACACCAGGTGAAGTGCTGAGATAGATAGTGGTAAGTCCGTTTTTTTAATTGTTTGCATTTTACGAGTACATTATCAAATAATGAAATAATATCTAAGAGCCAAAAATAACAAACTCCATCTTTATTTACACTGCGTCCCGTCTTAATTTGCGTCTGGCATTGCGGCGTTGTCAGATTTTATTTTACTTTAAAGTCGCTTTTCTCTAAAAAAATGCCGTTTTGACCCCTATGTTATATGAAACTTTTTGCTTCTTTTAACTCCCTCTATCACTCATTTAAATAATGACTATCATAACGTTTACACCCTGTAGAATAATTTGGGGTCTAAGTATATAAATGATTTTAACATAATTTCTTTTTTTGTCCTGCAATTATTATTTCTAGTATTATATTCATAACTTTTATAAATGATCGTATATATGAAAATCCAATATAACCTTATACCAAAATTATTTTTTCTATTCAAAAGTAAACATTGATTTGTAGGGATATTATAATATATTTGTAAAGAATTTAGATGGTTGTTATTCGTGGATATCCAGATAATAAATCCATAGATTATGTGGCATTCAACTAGTGTTTGATATAAGCCTTCTAATTTAATGAAGAGATAAACGTGACAAACCGATATAAATTAGTGACACCGCTTTTCAATGACAATATTTTCAAAAGACCTATACATAAAAGAACGTTTTTTACCTGCTCGCATTTCTCCTGAAGCCAATAGGTGTTGAATTCGTGTGGATAATATTTCTTTCTTCCTTCTCCTTCATCTCTCTGGAGTATATATTTTGGAATATAGGAGAAAAAACAAGGACAATCCACTGCAGTGCGTTGATTAATTCCTTCCTCACCAGACAGCTCATATCACCGCTTACTGTATTTACTAATGTCATCGCTACCGAATGGTCTATACTATTGGCATGCTCTGATCTTTCTCCTACTGAGTTGATGAATGTGCCTAGAGAGTATACTGCAGCAGCTCTAACCTAGAACAAAATTACAAAGCATCTTTAGTGATACATTTTTGTTAAAATATGTTTTTATTCTATGACCAATTCTATCAATGTTCCTTCAAACGGACACTACAAACGTTTCTGCTGACATGCATTGGAGCATTCCAGTGCCAAGTGGCTTTGATATCAGGGATAGTGAACCATGCAAAAAAAAAACAACGCAGTATGAGTATTTGTCAAAAAGATAGTCTGAACTAAAAACCCTTGCGATGTTATGGTTTGCAGCCTAGGAAGCACTACAACACTCTACGGAAGTGGAACAACTAACCTCAGGACAAGGATCCTTCAACAGAGTGTACAACTTCTCGTGTGCGGTGTCTCTGACTCCAGTCCACTTAGCTTTGTCGTAGTGGTCCCAAAGTTGTCCCAAACAAATGGCCACCCACTGTCGTAATTCAGGAGTTGGGTCATTTAACTGTTCCAAGCACACGCTGACTAGGGAACCTTGCAGAGCTGCCTCTTGACCTTCACGATACCTTTTCACTATCGATGCAAGCACGAATGCCGCTTGAGTACGGTGCTCAGACTGAAAAATATAAATTTTAATCTAGCTGAATTTGAACGATGTATTGTAACTTATTGGCAGACAAATGGGACTCCTACAGCTACAGGAAAGTCACAAATGGGGGTGTGACCTTTTCGTTGGGCCACCCTGTATAAGGAAGTCAATGACTGATGAGTGGCTTGCCAAACACCAGCTATTATTTGACAAAATAACGGTAATTTCTTTCACACAATTTGTTTTATTCTATTACATCGATTCTCCCTCATTGGGAAACTGTTTAAGATATATTAAGCTATTTTTGAAACATTTTTTTGACATTCGAGAATACTTAGCACGTCTCAAGTTAAATTTAGATTTCGCCCAATGATACAGACGTAAGGTAGTGTTACTACTACTATGTCGCTATTGATGATGAAAACAGTTTACTTACCGATAAAGATGTATCTTGCAGAATTGACAAAAAGTACTTGTGGCCTCCATCGCGAACGATTTCAGCCTGACAGCTCTGTAAATAATCGCAATCCTTTTTAAAGGATAATAATTAGTGAGTGCATGCAAATGAAAACAAATCAAACTACGAGCGCTAGAAAATTAAAAACAAAAAACTTCAAGTTCAGTTTGTCCGGTAAGACAAAAACCATTGACCAACAAGCAAGACAAAACAAAAAGATAAACCTGATTAGTATTGCATAGATATCATTCTAATGTTTTAAACAACTGCATTCTTCTATGCTACAATTATCTTAAATTCACTGCTTCCAAATGTTTTAAATTTCAACTTCTAAAACATGTAGCAACAGAGTTTTAGTCGAAATCTTGCGAGAAGGTATTTTTCCAACGCTGTAATACAGTGTGATCAAAAAAAATTGACAATACATATAGGACAAAGAGAAGGTGCAAAAATAACATGGACAGTTCATATAAACAGGGGTTTTCTAAACCTTCCTAACTAGAATAGATGATGTTGAAGTTGTTATTTCGAAAGCAATAAAAAATCGTATTTGAGATCATAATGGTACTGATTCAAAATTTTATGTGAAGTAGTACTATAAACAATGCAAACACAAGTTTTTGTAGCTGACACTACACCAGTGACATGGAATTTTGATCGCATCAGAAGAGAAAGTAAAAAGATAATAATTAATATAATAATAATGTGACATTACATCAATTGTATCTATTAAGATTTTTGTCAGACCTTTCTTTTGTACAAAATTTGGATTGAATCTTTGAGGTAAGTTCCATATAAAAAACTAGAAAATTTTTCGTAGTAAATTAGTGAAGTAATGTCATCACACCACAACATTATTAGAAGAACATTCATGTTTTCTTCCCAGTCAGTGACGTTAGTAGAGTAGACATGTAAAACATTCTGTATCTAGATATGGGACATTTTATAACACACAACTTTTTTTAATACACTTTCTGTTTCTCTGTAATAATTCACATGTTACACATTAAATAACAAAACTTCAAAATTAATTCCAAGCTGACAGACTTGATTACTGTCTGTTAAGTTTATAGTAGACGAAAGACAGACAAAATGGTATACAATGTGATTATTTCAAAAATAAAATATACTTACGCCATCCACAGCCAATATTTTAGCCCAAATGAAAACAAGCAGTGGCCTGAGCTCTTTAGCGCAGCTCTGCAGTAGTTTGAGCACATATGGGAAGATGCCGACGCTAAGGGCCAAATTGACCGCCCACGGGCCAAGGTCGAGGAACTTGCCTAGAAGCTCGAGAGCTCGGGTGCGATGCACCTGGCTTAGCAGGACTTGAAGTACAATAGGCAGCTGTTCGGGAGGACGGCGTTTCTCGCTGCCCGATAGCTCTGCTAAAGAATCAATGAATATACCCTAATTCAAAACGGACGAATATATCCATTTGTCAAAAACAAAAATGGCAGACATGTTTGCAAAATAAATGTTCGATTTTGCTCAAGAAATGTGTGACATATACAAACAATTAAGAATATTCACATACCCAGTTCCAGCCACACCTGAAACGCAGTCAACTGTTCTTCAAAGAATGGCAAATGCTTGAACGGTTCCCTGCCAGACACCACAGCCGGCAACTGACCCAAGCTGAGGTCTAACGCAAGGTCCCAAGCATTCCACATCGGGTGCTGGTAAGTAGGAGGAAGAGGAGGATTGCTCACTGGAGTGCAGTCGCAAGAACGCATCACTCGTTCAGCTAGCAAAAAGTTGCGGAATAGACTCGCCACCAGCAGGTCTTGCCGGAATAACTTCTGGAACAGGTCTATGGAGAAATGGGATTGAATGAGTCAGAGAAATAATAAAAACAGCTATAGTATCTGCAGAACATTCTCAATAAGGGCTTTAAATGCGCAAATGCTTACCTCTTGGCAAAGTATTCCAAGCAATAGTGTCTGTAATAGCAGTGAATATCCAATTCAGCTCCCCCAGCATTGTTCTTCTATCTGTTATTTGTCCAGGAACTCTGAAATGTAAAGGAAAAATAGCATCAAGATCAGTGCTTCGAGCAAGAACGTGTTACTCTGGAGAGTTATAGACAATATGCCTGACAGCAAACCTGATTTAGACAACACAAAATCTTGACGAATACGTCAGAAGATGGTATACTAAGGCCGAGAGAAAGTTGAGTTGCAAGATAACTCAGGTCTGATGGGACAGCAAAGCAATAATACAGTCGAATTAGGGGTATATCTGATTTTCTTGAGATGGGTATCTAATTCAAAGCTTATATAAACTGGGAAGGAGTCAGGATGAACGTACTCCACGGATATTCAGACACCCGGGAGTTTAAATAATGAATGAAATTTTAAATTATTCGCTTGACTCGCAACATCCCAAATCCACCCATAGTTTGATTCATGTCACGTGTGTCACCCCGCGTATCAACTTTCGTACAGCCTACAAAATTGAATACATGATAACAGTGGACCTCGAAAATAAAAAATAAAATCTCAGTACGTGCCATGCCCGACTCGATTACCGCAATGAACCTCAGCCTGGTGAAAATTCTAAACTCTAAAATTGGAAGGATAAGTCATCTGGTTTGTTAAGAGAACCAAATGGCCCTTATGCTGTCTCAGAGTATTTAAATCCGCGAAATATACGTATACATCTGAAACACCCTATTTTACATTCAGATTCGTCGACCGCCATGTATGGGTGGTGACAAGAAAGTAAATAAACACCAAATCCATTACAAACATCCATCACGTAGAAATTTTACAAAGTTCAAAAAACCTTACTTTTCAACCAGATCTAAATTGACCTTGGGCATTAGCTTGGTTTTCGGTTGGAGCACAAACCACCTCAAGGCTATCTTGATGGGAGTTGTTAAACAAGCAGTAAACAGATCTGCAGGTAGATTGGGGTTCATGGGAAGCACTTCTTTAGCACTACAAGCTGCCAACTGGATGCAATTTTTGTAGTTAGGTGGTGGGGGGCTGTTGGTCATTTTTGGTTGTTGCTCCACCTGTTGCTGAAAATGTTTCACATTTAAAAATCAAAGGTAAATATTCATATTCACATTATCACGAGTACACATTATATGACACACAGTGCATGACTGTGATTACATCAACTCTTATCTTGGATTTATGTTGTCATCCCTCTGATCTATTGTAATTTTTATTTAGCATCACATACCTCATACTCCTTTTCATGTTGTATGGCAAACTGGATAAAAGAGTCTACAATGATTCCAGCATTGGAACAATCATAGACATATATTGATGGGGCACCCATCCATGTTTGTAGGTCATATATAGACAGGGGAATGTACTGGGTGTATGTCTGAAATGAAATAAAATATCTGTTCTTGAATAAATGAAAATTTCTATAGGTCTTTTCAAAAAGTTAGACACTTGTGGCCAATATTATGTGTGGAGCTTAGCTTTCGACTGTACAAATGGATCTTTAGTACAGCTGCTACTAGCTCTCGCACACATGAATTATGATCAGTGTTTTTATTCATATTTTGAAAATACCCATAAGCACACTGACTGCTTTGTCCATGAGTTGTATTTTCAGGCATTGTTATATTTTATAATGCATGCTAATAGGGAAATACCTAAATGAAAATACTAAGAAATAATTGAAAATGTTGAATCAATTAAATACTATGAATACATTATTTCAAAAATTGCTTTTAAGCCAAATTACTTTTACAGAATATCTCATAGTCCAAGTACATATTCCAAAAAAAAAAAAATAGTTTATAATACATTTATGCTACTGCATTTACTATATTGTTCAACTATCTTGTTCATTGCCAATGAAGCTGTATTCTCAAAATTACAAGTCCTGCAAAATAAATCTATGAGAATAATATTGAATAAAAATAACTATACAAAAATGAAATCTATGCTAGAAGAATTGGAGTGGTCGAATATAAAAAATTCATATTATATTTAATTATTTTTATATTTTAAATAAAAAATCATATTTTGCCACATTTGGAATACTACATAGAATTAAATAATCATTACCACAATTATTATACAAGAGGACATACAGATTTTCATTTACAAAATTGCACTAGTAATATAAGTAGCAAATCAATATTTCAGAAAGGATTACTTGAATTTAATAAAATAAATAATGATATAAAGTCTACTTGTAATTGAAAGATTTTCAAAAAAAAATTAAAGGAATATTTCATGGACAGTGAAAATTCTTAGAGATGCAAATTTTGTTTTTCTAAATATCTGTATGTTATATAAGAGTTGTAGTTTTTTAAAAGAAGATTGTAGCAATCATGCTAAGTAAATCTTAAACAAACAAACAAAAGTAAGGCATCCTTAAATCCCATGCCTATCACAAGTGAATTGTCATACTGACAGTGATAATCATAGTGGTAGAAAATTCATATGTTGAATAGAAAATGTTCAAGGTGGAAAGACAAAACAAAAAATGTACCATATGCCTGTAAATTTGCTGTACACAAATGTTTCCACACAAAGGCAGATTGCATAAATATGTATGGGTGAGGGAGATGTATGTATGAAAGTCATACTGTTGATTGTACTGGGACCCTATAAAATCAGTGAAAATATTGTTTTTCAGAATCAAACTAATGAGTTGCAATTTTCAAAATAATAATTAAGAGCTTTTCTGTATTCAATGGCAGGTTATCAAACTTTGTTAACTAGTTTTAGCCTGAGTTTTCCATCAAGTCAGTATATTTCCAGCAATACATCCTGTGAACTGTAATATATAAAATGGTAATAAATATTTTATAACATATATTTGACACATTTAAAAAAATGTAATACCAATACTAAAATTTAGAACAAACTGTTCTTACCCTATTAAACACCCAAATTTCACCATTAGAAGTGGGTTTAGGAACACCATGGCCATTATAATGAAACAAAACTCTTTCTTCTTTGGCATTTCTTCTTAATGAAGTACACAATTTCTTAACTTCTTCAGAGGTGGGATCTAGTGACTGTTTATACCTTGCCCGAGGCTGCCATCTTTCATATTGTGTTTGTAAATTCTGACCTATCTTTTCTAAGGCCTTTGGAGAAGACATTGTGGTAGGGTCTGCAATAGCAAAAATAAAGATGTTATAAGAACAATGAAAACACACAGACAATACAGAATTTTAAAGAAGAATTCAGTAAAAAAATTGGATGCAACTGGTCCTCAAATTAAAATTCAATTCTATAACAGTGTGAAAGATAAGCTTTCTCTTCATATTCTCATAAAAATTGTACCTATCCAGCATTCTAGCCTCGCACAGGGTTGTGTTTTGACTACATCTGGTGGATCTACTCCAACATTTAAGCACAAGACTAGTGCAACACTCACAGTCTTCATCTAAAAAAAAATATATATGTAGTTATAATAATAATAATGTTGATTTGGACAACATACTCTATCTTTCATTCGCCACATTTGAGGCTCAACATTCAATTCATCTATTGGTTCTAAATGTCTTTCCTCCACAAAACTGACGGGTAAATCCTTATCCCTAATAATGTCTTTCTTATCTTCCACTTTTTCGTCATTTCTGAATTCGACAGCAACAAGTTCCGACATTTTGACAGTTTTTACTGGATAACTTATCATAAAATCGGGAATATCATCAAATTACAAAATATCTTTTCATGTTAAAAATCTTTAAAACGCAATTATACACCGAAATCCAAAAGCATGGCACTTTAATGTGACAGTTGACGTTTCATGTCTCGTAAAATATTTCAGTGACAACAATAGAGATGGCAGAATAGTGAGGGGCAATCAATTACGATAGAACATTATTCGCGATAACAAGATATTCGGGGAATCAAAACTATACTCAAAATTACAAAAGCCATTCAGGCATTTCATACATTTTTATATGTAACCAAAAAGTCTAATATTATGTGTTTGATTACAGGCTACATTCAACATACTCGGATTCTGGGAAAACCGCAAGTTAGTATTTTTTTGCAGAAATTGTTCACTTAAATTGGATAAAACATCAAGTTTTGAATTTTAAACCATTCTAACAGAAGTTGAAAAGAACTATAGAATTTTGCAACCATCCGATGCTTCCCGAAAAGTTACATGACAAACCAATAAAAGGGGCATGGGTGTTCGAATTTCAATGTCATTTCCTTTTAACATGGTAAATTTTGTTGAAATTTGATATGGGATTTTTTAAAGCCAAAGATGGAGGTATTCGAGTATTCGGCGCTAGCGGCGGACGGAACTGCGTTTTCCAACCTTCGTCCGCCATCTTTTTTGTTTTTGAAAACAAATTTCAGACAGTTGGTTATTCTTGAATTGTCGCCATTCATGGTATTTTAGTCATTTCTTGCCGAAAAGTGATAGTAGCGGAGCTTGATATCTGTTTAGTGACTGACCAGTTTTGTGCTACTTTTTAATCACAAAACGTACTTTTGAAGGTGTTAAAAATAGAAGAAAAATCACTGTGCCCCTAGTGGTCTCCATTTTGCTTTGCCTAAAAATGCATAGAGATATGAGGCATTCAGGTGGTGTAGGTGATCGTGATAGATTTTACAGTCACGGCATGGATAGCATGAGTTCATTGAGTAGTTTTGGCGAGGAAAGGGAAAGAGACAGAGGTTATCAAGACCGGTTTCGGGACAGGATCGAGCCAGGAAGGCCGAGGGTTGAGGAAAAGCTCGACTTCAAGCGGGATCTCAAGAAGCACGATAGCTGGGACAGAGGTCTGGATCGCGTGGGGCGAGATCGAAACATGGACAGAGGCAGAGATCTTGAAAGACGTGAAGATAGAGGTAGGGATAGAGGAGGCAGAGAGTTGAATAACAGAGAGCAGAGAGAACGAGGTCGAGAGATTAGTAGGGAACAAACGGGGAGAAGTAGAGAGCACCTTGAGAGAAGCAGAGAACGCAGGGATAATGAAAGAGAACGAAGGGATCGTAGCAAAGACAGGCAAGTTTCTAGCAGAGGACCTGAGGATGCGAAACGTAGACATAAAGATGAGGGTGATGTTATAAAGGTTCCGTCAAACAGCTTCCGTAGTGGGTATGAAAAGACTTCCACTCCTAGAAAAGATCCTGATGACAGATTAGAGCGCCTTGAAAAAATGGTCAAGAAGCTTGTGAGGGGAGGTGGTGATAATATAGTCGGTGGTGAGTCAAAACCTGGTGAGTTTAATCCAAGAAATATGTCATTTCCCACTTCAGTGTGGTTGAATCAAATCAATGAAGAATGCTTGCAGAGGAATTTTGATGATAGGGATTGTATCAATTATATTCAAAGCAAAATGTCAGGTATAATCAAGGCATGGTTTAAAACATTGGGCATGTATGATTACACTTGGTTAGAGCTAAAAATGCTCATCACTCGTACATTTCCTGATAATGTTGATTTTGCTCAAACCCTTCATCTACTTGTGGATAGAGTTAAAGTCCCAGATGAAACGATCACACAGTATTATTTCAGCAAGATGTATTTGCTTGAGGCATGTAAGATATCAGGGGTGAATGCAGTATCTTGCCTTATTGATGGATTAGACAATCCATTTTGGCAAGCTGAAGCTAGATCCAGTAATTTCATGACACCTGAGATACTTTACTCTCAGTTTCTCTGTAATCTTCCAAATCATGGAATGCAGGTACCAATGCCAGTTTTATCTTCGCCAGCACAACGTATCTCATATGAACGAGAGCGAGACTATAGGGAGCCTAAAGAACATCGTAAGGAGAGAGATAATATAGAGCCGACCAATCATAATTCGAGAAAGTGCTATACATGTGGCAAAGCAGGACATATGGCTGCAGAGTGTAGACATGCACCAATTTGTTACAATTGCAATAATAAGGGGCATATTGCTATAAAGTGTCCTAGGAAGTAATGAGCGCTGGTGCTTTGTTCTGGCATGTTTGATTTTGTTTTACCATCACCATGGACTGTGGTACATTGTTTGGTGGTTTTACTTATTAGAGCCATTAGTTTCACCTGTATGTAATTTTTCGCTTTACAACTGCCTTCTAGATAACTTTTTGATCATTTGTTGAGCTTGCAATGTAGAATCACTTAATTTTTAAACATTGAGGATAGGTAGGTCTATGTTATCCTAGAGGAAAACTTCCTTATTCAAAGGTGAATATAATGTTCCTCAAAGATATGCTGACCATGGATAATTGTATGTGGAAAACAATACCATAGTAAGCTTAATCAAGAGTTATGGTTAATTATACTTCATGGTCTGTTATGAATGCATCAAAATTAAACTTGTGAAAATAATATGTAGCTAACCGTCTTAATGAAGGGTAGCCTGCTGTTGAGGCACAGGGTGTTGAAGTTTGATTTTGGAAAATGTTCCTTCTCTATAGCTCAATTTTTTATTGGAATATCAACATGAAGTTTGAGTATGATGTATTTTTTTAACATAGCAAGTAGACGGTACTACTTAGTGGAGACTGTTGTATACTGTTGTATACATTTTTTTTATGTTTGATATATTAGCTAAAGGAACTACTTTATTTTAATAATAACACCAGTAATAAAAAGTAAAAGGCTAAATGAAATCGGGCTTTGTCCCTGTAAATACCCAAGTCCCACTATACAACAAAATTGTGTTTTATAGTGAGACAACTTGTAAACAAAATAAAAATGAGCAACAAGGGCATAAAAAAGTCCTTAGACATTAAAATTAACAAAATTTTTTTCAAAATATTATAAACAAGAAACAAGTACATGAAATTTGGTACATACAAAAATTTATTGTAACAAATTGTTTTTATTCTATATTAAACAAGGAAAAGTCATAATTGAAACACCATTGTTTTTGCAGCTCTTTCTGTTCTGTTCCCTCCGACATAAATGGAACTGGAAGTTAGGCAACAATATCTTCCTTTACAATAAGATTGTCATCTTTCTTTTCTGGAAACATGAACTTACCAGGGTCTGTTTTTTTCATAAAATTTATGACATAGTCGGCCAACTTAATTTTCTCAACATTCCCAACACAATATTTTATGTTTTTTTTAATGGGTATTTTACAATAACAAAATCATTTAGATTTATTTCATAATCTATGTCGCTGTCAAATTGGTCCGAGTTATCAGAACTGTCTGCATAACTCTTGCATAGAAATATTGCTGTCACTGGAATCTTCAAACAAATTTCTAGTTGCAGCCTTCATTTTGGCTTTTTCTGTGACTTTTGACTCTCTTTTAACCTTTTCTCTATTTCTTTTTGTTTCTTTTCCTCTATGATTGGAGTATCTGTCAAGATCATTGATGTTACTCTTAAATGAGGTCTTATTGATTCCGGAGTGACATTTTTTTTTTCAGGGGTAGATTTTTCAGTACCAGTTTTGGAGCAACTTGGTTGGGAATCATTCAAATTTCCTCCTCTTCTTTCTTACTATTCTTACTTATATCAGGAACTATGTCAGCGTCTTCAATATGCAATTGTCCACGATCAGTAACAGAAGAGTATAAAAAGTCTCTCCTGAAATATTTCTGAGTTCAATGGATGTATACATGTTTTCTCAAAGCCCTTAATTATATTGTTAGGTGTAAAGGAAATTGTAAATGATTTTCCTACAATTTCTGCTATATTGTACAATGTTACCGGGGTGCCTGGATGATTTATCATCCATTCATCCATTGGTTTATTATAATAACCCTTAAATGGCCCAAAGCAAGTAACACACATGTGCGTGCTATTTTATTCCGGATCATTGGCGCGAAATTTAAAATGTCCCAGTATAGAACCTGTCCCAGTATACAACAGTCTTCCCTACAGCATTTATTCTCAGTATTTTATCATATTTTTTTGCTAATATACCATTCTATAGTTTTATTAAAAACTATGATATAGTGTTTAGTGATGGTAGATAGTTTACATTTATTTCAATCAAATCCTTTTTGAGATACTTAAATTTAACATTGGACTGCACAAATGGCTGGCTTAGACACAGTCCATTAATAATGCAACATGTTAAGTGTATGAAAAGAACATCAGTGTGGATATATTCAATGTCAATATGTCTGAGGTATTGTCAAATATTCACTGCTTTCATTTCTTGCCCTCAACAGATTCCGCTCTTTGGTTTATTTATTTAATTAAAATAGTGTAGAATAGTTTCCTTCTCACTTAAAAATAATTTTTGATCAAAAATAATGGAACAGTACAAGCCGAACAGTTATAGAATAGTGAGATTATAGGCTGTAACTAGGGTTTTTAAAAATTCGTTTATAGCTTCCACTATACTTAGTGTTAACTAAAGTTTGGACTAACAGTGCCATTGGTTTAATTAAAACTGGAATCCATTTAAGTTTGATAGCTTCCTGTATCTACTTGAAAGGCCAAGAAAATGTTTTTCAAACACATTGTCGCATTCATTAGAATTTCACTGACAGTCACATTACTACATTTACATATATATATATATACTCGTTTGTCTCAAAACGCTATAGCATATGGGTAATTCACACTTTTGATTACTGTACTGAAGAGTAAAAAGCCCCGTAAATACTGAATTATAGGTGTTACGTCCATGGTAGTGAGCTCAAACCCATGAAAAACGTTCCTCACATTAATGTAATATATAGAAGAAAAAAATACATACATAGGCTTTTCAAAATGAAACGAAATATTTTCTATTGTTGAATCTTTATTCATCATCAATACTAGTCAACGAAAGCACTTTTAACTAAAAGTAAAAAGTATATTTTTTAGAGCATGCAAAAATCAGCAACAAGCATGTCTTATCAACTTCTGTGATTGGTAAAATTTAAAAAAATATCTACATCAAGGAATACCTTGATACTACTCCATCAGTCTGCTTATATCACAGGTAGTTTATTTTGTGTTACTTTATTCTTTGAGTACAATTTTGCTGTACTTTTCACCAGTTTCAAAGCATTTGTTGTAGTATATATGGCGGTATGTAATGCTACTTGTTGTCTCGAGGCTTCAAACTGCATTGCTTGTATTTTGCCGGAGTACTTGCAGCAATACACAATTTTCTGTAATGTCTCCTATAGAAAGGTTTGACTTCAGTTAGGTACTGGCTAAATATTGTTGTGTTATATTTCATATTGTACTGGTGATGGTGGTGCAAACATTCAGCCATAGCTTCCATAAAATTCAATAACAGCGTCTTCTTCGCTATTTTAATTTATCTTTTCACAGTTCTACATATTTATTTTCCTTGCTTTTTATAATTTTGCGTGATCCATGATTTATCTATAAGTTGTTCCAATAGAGTCGTCGAAAGTGTTCATTTTTGGAACTCTATACTTACAGATCCTACTGCTACGTAAAATTCCATGTCTCTGAATTGATGTCGCATGCTAGAGTTTTGATCACAAAACATACTTAAATATTTTAATTTGTAAACACTTGCTGCATGTTTTCGTGAATCACACAGAGACAAATGTCTTTAGTCTGCATTTTTTTTTCTAGAACAACAGCACATCATGTATATTCAGATCACCACAAATCGTTATTACATTATTTAGCTACTAACAGAAAAATCATAATCACAATACTATTTTTCACAAATGAGAATTACCCATATACAGACTTGAATAAATTTCATGCATAATTGCTAGCTCAAACCATTCTCACCATTTGGAGGGACAGCAACTGTGCCTTAGGCCCGTATCGTCAGTCGCCCATACAATTGTAGGGCGCGTTTATGGCCTCCTTGATTGTAATACTTCTTTCTCTCCTTCAGAAATTTCTAGATTACACTTGTCCCGTGTCAGCGTCAGCGCTCTCCTATTGTAAAGAGATGTTTGTGACATAACCTCAAAATATAGCGCTGACACGGAGAAGTAGAAAACTATGACAATCAAGGAGGCCATAAAGGCGCACTACAATTATTGTAGGGACTACTGACGATACGGGCCTAAGCTGGAGACCAATTTGTGAGACGAGTAGCGTAGTACTGGTATAGCAAATATATCACTGTAACTGTGAAATGGTGATTTCCGAATTTAAAGACGCATGAAAAAGCAATAAGCGGCACAACTAACAGGCCTCTTATTTTTGGTTTTGAGTTTGAATATTTCACAGTGAAAGCATAAAAATATAGTTCTTGGCCTTCTAGTTTAGAGGACTGTAGGTGAAAGATTTGCTATGTATAAAATAGTATTACATATATGTTCTTTTCGATGTCTTATGGATATGTTCTATTGGAACAGTAACACTCTGTATGTATATCAAAAATATGTTAGGCAGTAAATGTTTAAGCGAGTATATAGCTTTTTTTTACAGTAGTCAGAATGTATAGGTAACCTTTGATTTGTGTTTACCTTTTTGTGTATAAAGAGGGTTGCCCAACAAGTTTAGTGAGTTCTGCAGTGAAGAGGGAATGGATTTGTCTGAAGCAGTATCTGGAAAATGTTACTTCTGGTGTTGATGGTGATACTTTGCTGGAGTCTTCAAGAATATTTTTTGTGGGATTCGTGCTCACTAGTTCTGGTACGTTAGAAAACGATAGAGCCCTATAACTTATTGCTGATGGAGCTGTAGAGGTATGCATAACAAATGTCCTGGAGGTTAGTGAAGAAGGAAGTTGTGATCGCCGCGTCAGTTCGCATGCCAGGATGTAGAGTTTGGGATTCAGGTATATTAGACCTTTTTAGATTTGCGTAGTTCCTGGAGGGTTTGCCATACAGATTTACCGATTTGGGAGTTACAAAAGTGTATTCACTATACAAGGTGCCGCCCGTCCTATAAAAAACTCCCTAAAATGCTTTATTCAGGAGTCAAGTTTTCAATAAAATTGTTTTTAGTAGAATCAAAGTAGCCGACAAGAGCGATATAATTTTCCGTTTTAAATAGATTTAATCCCCAATATACAGTGCTTTTCAGAAAGCTGCCCCCTCGATATTGTTGGAAAATTGATGCACGATACTATATTTTAACGTAAAAATAATAGTTGATAATTCCAAGATGGCGGCATGTTTTGAATATTTTTAAAATGGAATAAGGGGTCATGTTTTGATGTTCATTATGAGTACTTTATAGCCCTGGAACATAAAGTTACTATCTTTTAAAATGGCGGAGTGGCAGGATGTCAAATTTGTATATTACATCGCTTATCTCACTAAGTATCGAAACGGTGGAGCATCATATATCAATCTTCTTCTCTTGGAAGAATCTATCTGATCGTGCAATCTAATATGGGACATTCAGTTTTGAAAAAATGACATCTTTTGACAATTCTTTTAAATGCAGAATTCTGTATCATATTACATACTCGAATAGACACGTTCCAGAAGAACTCAGCGTTAGCAGCCAGCCAGATCGCCATTTTGAAATATAGTGATTTTAGATTCTAGGGTTATGAAGAACTCTTAAGTGGCTTCAAAATCAGATAAGACAGGATCCTCAAGTCCGTTAAAAAAATGTTAAAAATTGACGCCCAGCCGTCATCTTGAAATCTGCAACCGCCACTCCTATGCTAAAATATAGTATTCATGCATCAGTTTCATCACCCTGAATTTCAGCCTCCTAACTTGACTCATTCAAAAAATAAATAGGGGGACCTTGTTTTACTTCCCACGCCTAGTGGTGATGGAGTATTGTAATCACGAAAAATTTCGAAAATGAGATGTTATGTTTTTTAGATATACATAATGACATGTAATTCATGGAAAAAACATGTCACTGATTTCCGGCGGTTTGTTCTGTTGGTCTGACTTGACCGCTGTATAAATTGGAAAGTGTTGGTCGGATTCGAATGAAATTTTTACACAAGGCTACTATGCCAAGGACGAAAAAGCTTTTTCGTTTTTGAAAAACGCTCCAGTGGCAACGGAGATACCGTGTGCAATGGGGTTATATTTCATCTTTGGTACTCGATCCGAGAGACTTAGAAAAGCAGAGAGCAAGCGGTGCGGTGACATACGAGGTGGGCGCAATTATCTATATATGATTTTTATTCGAAATGATTTTTTTTTGTTTCAAAAAATTCAACTGTAAATGTCGGTGGATTTCTCTAAGTGATAACGGTTCTCAACATAAGAAATTGAGATATGTCAGAGATGCACGTAGAGGTACTGCAACATGAAAATGGTGGGAAGACTTGCCGACGATGGATTTGTTCATCTCATCAAAGCAAATTTTTTGAGTGCTTGAAGTGTGATGTGATGTATTTCAAGTGCGTGTAGACTCGATTTTAATAGGAGAAAGTGTTTGGTCTTCAAGGTACTGAGCAAGTCTGGTACAGTTGGCTACAAGGTGAATGGTTTTCAGTGAAAGGTGAAATGCCGATGTTTAGTGCCTTTATGGCAAAAGGATCTAGGATGTGCACTGTAAGTTGGCCACCGGGAGGTGAGTGAGTTCACGACGCGGTTCCAGGTAGCCCAGAATGAAAATTCCTTACTTGAGAATCATATGCTGCCACTGACATATTATGGAGATACTTCAAGATTATGAAAGCTTCCCGGTCATGTATTGCTTTTCACAGTGATAGTTTGATACATTATACATAAAGCTCAACAATTGCCGTTTAGAATTCTGCAAACATTAACTGCTGGAAGGAGTAGAATGGTGAATGATTTCAACTATTATCATCGGAAGAAGCAAGGATTTGTACAAAATTTGCTCCGTGATGCCTCAGTATGATATTGATAATATGGGATAGTGGAACTATCTACAACTACAAAGTGTTGTCACACGCCAAACCGGTTTGTTATTACACGCTATGTTAACAGCTTCAGAGGAAAATTAGAAGAAATCGGTAGAATAATCATCATAATTATATTATGTACTAACCAAATCCGAATTCTGACAAGAGACATTAATGATGAAAATTTTTATTGGCGATGATTTTCTGCAATAGGAGAACTACCGATGACTATCACAATACAAGCTTTTTGACGGTGGATTACGCATCACTCACTTAAAAATGACCATGCTGTTTACGCGTAGGACATTCTTATCTGAGTTTAAACCTTTTACCTTAGATTGGCGTTTATGATAACCCTAAACTCTTGTAATAATGGTTACTTGGTCACGTCGTCAACAACAGTGTCGAATTGGTCGGCTAACTTCGTGACCTTTACTGGATCCACCACAAAGGCAACTTGGCGATCCAGGGCTGAAGGAAAAATGGAATTCCTTGATGGATGGAAAATTGTCTACCACATGCAGAATATATCCAAAAGTTTAAGCTTATTGCTGAGAAAAGGACGTCGATACCCTAGCTATCGCTATAGTATAGTTAGAATAGGAAGATGTGCATAAACGTACGTGACTTAACTCTCGGAAGAGCGCATGTGAGCGTCTCCTGAGGACGATGTTGTTTTTTCAGTGTGTGCATCCGTCATGAAACAAAACATGCGCTACTGGGCTGACACCAATCCTCGAGAATTGAATCAAAGACGTTTGCATTCACCTAAAGTCGCGCTGTGATGTGGAATTTCCTCAACTTGACGGTTGCACTTTTAATGTTTTCTGGTAGCATGAGAGGTATGCCTGAGTCACCTCATCCCCTGGTTTCAATGGTTATATTACCTGCGTAGTGGTGATGGTTGCAGTTAAATAGGTTTGAATGTTTCCAGCACAAGACAAGTGATAGGCAGTACAAAAATAGCGCATTTTAAAGGTCCACTTCTTGAACAAATCGGAAGATGCAGCCCGGGCTCGCACCTAGTTCTGGAGCTATAAAAACTGATAAGGCATCCCGTGATGAACGCTGAAACATGAGAATATATGCAATTAAAGACTGAATCGATGCAAAGTACAATTGACGGAGTGTTAAAACCGTAGCTTCATCACGAAGACGACGAATTAGCACAGATGCTATGCAGTTCTTGATGAGTGATGCAGTTTGGTAGTTAGTTTTAGTTCAGTGTAACGTCATAACCAAGCAATCTCGCACTATCGACCTCTGTTATCGAAGCATGACCAATAACGAACCATCACTGGCTCATCCTTATTTGCTGGTTTTCTGAATGTAACAGTTTTGTAAGCATTCAACCTCAAAACGAATAGTTCTTGCACCATAACGTTTATCGCATGTGAACAGATGTAAAATTGTAGTCACCGTTCTAGCCGGTTACGTCATCAACGCTATATGAAGTAAGTAAACAGATTGAGTCTCCGTACCATGGGCGGATCTTAAGCATCAGCGCATCTGCTACTGTCTCCAGTATGCATGAAGTGGGTAAGAAGGTAGCGCTGTTTTCATTCTTTTCCTGGAAATACTCTAATAAACTTAGCACGACCTGTCGGCCTTCTCGATTGATCGTGTTTCCGGGCATTGTACAATTTTATATTGAAGATTTATAACAGGACAACTTAAATTGCATGCCCATGTCAAGTAAGTTGTAACTCCGACAAATATGATTGAAGGGCACTCATACGTAACGACAAAGTTTTCGAGACGGAGACATAACTAAAATACGTATGTGTGAGCTTACCGAACAAACGTTCACACACAGGGGTAGGTTGCATGTGTATGTATGAGGGAGAATGGGAGATGGAGATATATAGAGGATAGAGGGATACTGGTAGTCTTACTTTGACCCGCCAAGAACGGTGACTACAACTATAACATCTGCATACTCACAGATTGAGCCAAAAATAAATCGCTCAGAGAGTCCATTTACAATACAGCAAAAACAACAGGGGTCCCAAGGAGGATCTCTGTGGAATACCCTGCTAAACAAGTGTTGAGGTTGAGTAAATACTATTTACATACAAGTTATTTTCCACTATCCATGAAGTATCCTAAGTAAAAATCTCTGGCATTGCACAAAAAACTAGGTATACCTGCTTGCTTCTCATAGAGAAACGGAATCTTGGAAAAAAAACAAATATCGGCTGTCATATACTTTATTACATTAGCGGAAATGCAAATACAACATACAAAATCGATGTTCTTCGCATCTTTATTATCCCGAGTAAAAGCGAGGTAACAATTGAGATATTGGTTATACCAAAGTAAATTAGTATTCGAGACAGCTACAACAGCATATTAAGTTCCAAACATTGAGGCTTTGCTTTAAACAAAATATAATAATTGGTCTCTGGAGGTAGTTTTGCTATGTTCCATCGATGTCGATATGTAACAGCTTATTAGATATGAAGTTCGTATTATAGCCAAATGAGAATCGTATGTTTTAGTATTACAATTAGAAAAATGTATCTAGGTATGTTTACTTCTAATGCTGATGGGTAAATCATTTTTCAAAACTGTAGAAAGACTAGTCTTTTCTGAACACTGATGTCACAGGAATCATCTTACTTAAATACAGTCATCACAGTATCATATTAATAATACCGATAATCAAGACTACTAAACAACTACTTAACATGTTTGTACCGGAAGTGATTTCTCTGAAATTGTCTAAAATGACAATTCGAGAACTGTGACCATTGTCCCGGGCCAACCCGTAAACCTTATCATCACACACCAAAGGACTTCCAGGGATCACGTATTCTGAAGGCATTTTACTTTCAATTTCAACGTGAGTCTTTTTATCGACAGGCGTCACAATTTCCGTTACAATAGTGTCGTTTCTCAATGTTATGAAAGTACAGTTTTCTTCTTTTCCATTCAACATCCCATACGAAATGTAACTAGTATTATGTTCACTTTGGAAATTCAGTACTGCTAAACTTTCGAAGCTCGAATAGGCTGGTTTGATGTCCTTCAGTTCTAAAGTATCATTCAAAGGCTTCGCTTCGATTCTTGATATTTGCTTAGCTTCCTTGAGAAAAATCCCTACATTTATATCTGTCACAATACTGTTGTTTCCTATAAGTACCCCTACTACATCTTTCCTAAGGTCCATATTCGTTTCGAGCAAAAGTTTGTTGAAGTCCTGATTTAAGTATATGTCACGAACATCAATACCAATTGTGTTCCATAAGATCAAAGCTTTAGCTTCTGTTAAACCGTTTTTCTTCAATATTTCGACAAATTCACGAAGTGATAGCTTAACTGCAGCGTCAGCAAAGGTGTTCATGCTTGCTTTGTATAGGTCATTAGGAGTTTTTCCAATTTCGTTAAGAGCTGGTTCGAGGTTAGAGAAGTTGCCTTGTTTTATTACGTCCAGTGGGTCACCCATTCCGAGTACAATGGATGATGTAAACGCTGGCAAGTCGATATCTAAAGCAGAAAAAATATTAATTACGTAAAGATACAAAATATCACAGAACAAGATGTCAATTTCTCGAGAGCAGAGAGTACAGAAGAAACAATTTCACAAGTTCCTATAAAAATGCTACAAGCTTCTCTTCAAAGATACCGGTACCAAAAGGACACCACTGGTCGGTTTTTCTTAACTGAATATACTAAGTGACATATAAATCCGAACACCCAGTTTAAATGGTTTTATTTTAATAAAATTTTGTATAAGTACTTATGAAGCATAATAAGTAAATGATAAAAATTTCAAAATGATTGCACTGCTTTAAAGCCCTTTGACCTTTAATAATGTGTGGATGCACCCTGATGTGCAACGCATTCTCCAACGCGCCTAGGCATGCTTCTGATCAGGTGGTCAATGTCCTCCTGTGGTATCTCATTCCAGGCAACCACCAACTCCTCTCGAAGTGCTTCTAGAGTCTGAGGAGGACGTTGCAAATTGAGCAATCTCCTACCCATCATATCCCACACGTGCTCAATTGGGGATAAGTCGGGAGATCTTGGTGGCCATGGTAACAATGTGACATCATTATGTTGAAAGAAGTCTATTGTGACTCTTGCAACATGTGGTCGGGCATTACCTTGTTGGAAAGTTGGATCTGCCAGGGTGTCAAGATAGGGTAAAAGATGGGGTTCTAGAACTTCGTGGATATAACGCTGCGCGTTCATGTTACCTCTGATGAAGATTTAAGGTGACCTGGAACCATAAGCTATAGCACCCCAAACCATAACTCCAACAGTGTGATGAACATGTCTTTCAACAAAAAACTGTGGATTCCTCCTTTCACCACGTCGCCTTCTAGCCCTGGCACGACCATCGTGCATGCCTAAACAAAATCGAGACTCGTCACTAAAGATAATACTGTTCCATTCCTGATCCCAGAGTGACCGTTGTCTGCACCACTCAAGGCGATTACGTCGGTGTTCTCGAGTTAGTGTGGCCGGTATGAAAACAAGCCAAAACTTCTCATTCGTCGGTAAACACTTCGCATGCCAATAGGTCTTCCGTGTTCTGCAAACCATTCATTTGCAATGGACCTGGTAGTGGAGAAACGGTCCCCTAAGGCCAATAATCTTAGGCGGCGATCTTCACGGTCTGTTGTTCTACGGCGGCGTCCAGTGCCCCTTGCTCTTTGCGTACGGCCTTCTCGAAGCTATGCCTGACAACGCCTAACCATAGTGTCTACACTTCTTTGCACTCTAACTGCAATTGCCCGAAAAGAAAGTCCAGCTTCCCGAAGTCCCACTATACGGCCCCTATCAAACTCACTAAGTTGACGAAATCGTACAGGTTTCCGTACTCTAGGCATCGTAACCGATCGTAAAGGATGTCAAGAACCAAAATCCGCTAAAGTTGGTTCTTTACTGCGGCTTAAATATTCATTTTTAGAGCGTTAGTGAATTAAAAAAAAGCAGTATAAAAACCGGAATGTCCAACTGGTAAGGCTGAAAATTTTTATTCACTTGTTATTTACAGTAAGATAAATACATTCACCAACTTTTATTAAAATAAAACCATTTAAACTGGGTGTTCGGATTTATATGTCACTTAGTATAATTCAATACAATTTTGACTGTTGGGTTCATGCAAAGCTAACCCTAACGAAATATTGGCGGTAGTTTTTACACTCTTTATAATAATGGCTCAAAAATATTTTGGGAAATCCTGACCCTTTAGTTAAAAATGTATCCATGTTTGATGCCTATAGACTTAAATCATTAAACACGGTAATTTTGACGATAAGTTGGTAAGTAACTAGCGACCTGAAAAGCTCCTGTATTACTGTATCGAATTTTAGATTTTTGGGAACTGACTGCAGTGTAAATTGATAGGAAGAGTATATATATTTATTGAAATCTAACAGGAATATGTTTTTGCAACTAAAGCATCAAGATACCATCAAGTCAAAATTTCGTTGGATTATAGAGTCGTTCAAGTTATTTAGGAAAAAACGATTTTAAGTAGTGCCGTTTTGGGTCTATATATTTTTAAGAGTCCCGCAAAACATGTTTTTGTAGTAACTTTTGAAGATTTTTGTATGTTTTATATTCATTCGCAAAATTTCATCTTATTCTTATTCTCTAAACACTTTTAAAAAGAAAACTATTATATCTATAGGCTTATTTCAAAAATACTCTCAGTTATACAGGTTCCAATCAGTGGTGCTCCCAGGATTTCAGACTGGAGAGGATAAAGTGGTAACGTGAGTTTCCTAGGGTACTATCACCAAATTTAGAAAAAACTACACAATATTTTGCAAAAAAGGCATTGCTTTGAATACGAGGTCTAATAAACAGTTCTCAGTGTTTTTAGTAAATAACATTTTACTCCTTTATTGTTTTAACGAGTGTCGAACAAGGGAGTTTAAAAAAGTTATGAGGCATTATTGCCCTCCTTGGTAGATCGTTTATATTTTTGTAATTTATGGCAGAGGAGTAAAAAGACATTTTAATTGGTAATGTTACATTAGCATTAAAACCTATCACTTCGGCTTGAAATTAATTTACTTTGCTTCTCACATAATTCTTGAATGCTATAACTACTACTGCAATTTACAGCGAGTGAAATAATAGCGAAACTAGATGGGAAGCGAATGATCATGATCAATCTGAGATGTGGCACAGAGCGGGTTGCTACCACTTTTTTAATTGTGATTCATCAATGTAGGGTGGACAAAAACACAAATGTTCTTTTAAAAAAGAAATAGTACACTTTTTGTTTAGAAGCAATAATCCGTCCCCACGTGGATGAATTACCCTGTATAGAAATATACATTGTCTAAAGTTAGTAGTGGATCAACGGAAGTCAGGTGATTGAAGGCCTCAAAACATATCGAATGAACCCCTATATGTGTGGGCCGAAATTTTATAGTTCAGGAGATATTTGCAATTTTGTGAGATTTCGAAAAAAAAACGGGATAATGAACTTTCAATCGCAATTACGACTAAACCATAAGGTTTAGGGCTGTGATTTTTTTTTGAGATGAGCTAAATGCTTAGTCTTAGCAATGGTTATGTCACTTTTTAATAGAGCTAATTAGAAATCAACGCAAAAAATCTTTATGGTAAAAAATCTCTTCCATCCCTGAAATTTGGAGGCGGTAAAAAAAATTGAGGTTGTATTTCACTATTCATTTTATTGCAACAACTATTTCAAACTATGTAAATAAAACCCTGAAAATTTCAGCTTGCTACGATGAGTGTATCATGTCACATTCGTTGTTGCGATGCGATAACCGTAAGAAACGCAATAGAATCCTTACCACCTACAAGTACAGAACCTATTGTGTTTAGCCGCTCTTTATAGCGATTTACCGACAAATGTGGAAGATAATTTAATTTAACTAACTTTGACAACATGTTCGAAATGGCCTCCATTATTTTCTATACACAAGCGACATCTTCAAAATGAATTGTAAGATTTTTTGCGTTGATTTCTAATAAGCTCTGTTAAAAAGTGACATAACCATTACTAAAACTAACCATTTAGCTCGTCTCAGAAAAACATCACAGCTCTAAACCTAATGGTTCAGTTGTAATTGCGATTGAAAGCTCATTATCCCGTTTCTTTCGAAATTTCACAAAATTGCAAATATCTCCTGAACTATAAATTTTCGGACCACACATTTCCGTTGATCAACTTCTAACTTTACATCCTGTATATAAAAATGTTAAAGATACATTCCAATGCACGCATCACGTTAGTGATAAGTAAAATGATTTGTTGATTCCTTGAATCACCAAAGAGATGTGCGCATCGGCAGGGTCATTATAAAAAAAAACAAAATTTCAACTAAGTTGACTAAGTAGGCTAATGTGAATAGTTCATTGCGCGCTTGCTCCAAGTGAGCATGAAGTTCCAAGATGACACCTTGTAGGAAAACCTACATAATGTCAAAAAACCTATACAGGGTGTTTCAGTTTATTGTTGCATAACTTTAAGATTCGATAGAACCTTTAAAATTAATGCATAAAGTCTATATAAACATGGGTCGAAAAATGCGTGGCTTCCGAAATACAGGGTGTTTAAATTTACTTTCTAAAATAGTTTTTTTTAAATATTTCGAACAATATTTGATGTATAACAGTAAAAATTGGTATACAAGGGTTTTTTTGGTACGACAAAACGAACCATGGGCATAGTTTTACTGTAGCCGCTAGAGGGCACTCTCTACTGTACCTGTAGTGTATTAAAATGACCGACAAATTTTTCTTAGAGCAATTTTTTGCTTTTTGAATATAAAAACTGATTCTTCGCACTTTTCAGCATAAAAAAGCTCTCCATTGAGTTTTCGTTATAGTTAGCCGTTTTTGAGATATTTCGATTTCTAAGGTTCGATGTATTTTTAATTATTTATGGGAAAATAATATTTTTTTTACATTTTCGATTTGGGCATTACAAGTAATTAAGATGATCGTTTAGATTGTGTTTTTAAATACAGCAATAATTCCTAACTCCAAATAAACATAAAAAAACAGAATATTAATTAGTTTAATTTTCCAATATTATTTTTAACAAATTAAATTAATTATTTACAACTAAAATGCTATTGGATAGTTAGGACAAACATACAAAATCTAAAGTAGTTGCTCGAAATGTAAACCCAATTGTTCAATACACAATTCACATCTACGAATGATCGAACGTGGTATAGCATTATTCAAATAAGGCCTTATTTGATCACATACATTCCTGATTCTGTCTATTAGCATATCTCTTGTGGTTACGAGAGTCTGGTACACTTTTTCTTTTAGAAATCCCCACACAAAGAAATCTAATGGATTTAGGTCAGGGGATCGCGGAGGCCAGGCGACTGGTCCTCCACGGCCGATCCATCTTTCTGGATAATTTTTGTCCAGCCAGTTTCTAACTATTCTCGAATAATGAGCTGGACAACCATCAAGCTGGAACCAGGCCAATCTCCTTAAATCTCACATAACATCATCCCACATATAGTCAA